AAGACACTTCAGACCACATAACTTTTTTTTTTAATTTTTTGAGATGGAGTCTCCCTCTGTTGCCCAGTCTGGAGTGCAATGGCGTGATCTTGGCTCATTTCAACGTCTGCCTCATGAGTACAAGCAATTCTCCTGCCTCAGCCTCCCGAGTAGCTGGGACTACAGGTGTGTGCCACCACACTTGGTTAATTTTGTATTTTTAGTAGAGATGGGGTTTCACCATGGCCAGGCTGGTCTTGAACTCCTGACTTCGTGATCTGCCTGCCTCGGCCTCCCAAAGTGCTGGGATTACAGGTGTGAGCCATTGTGCCCAGCCAATCACATAACTTCTAACAATATTTACCATATTGGACTCGAAAAATTGTACCTTGCTTTGTATATGTACTGTAGTAAGCTTGAAAACACAATAATACAGTTTACAGATAAGGTTTAAAAATAGTTCCTTTTGGTCTACTTTAATTATATAATTATTAATAGTTTCAAATTTCCAAGAATCATTAAGTATACATTTTTAAAAATATATTGAATTTTATTTTCTTTTCTTTTGTGAATGATTTTGTTCCTTAGGCATATAGGGATCTTGCTCTTTATAACAGACTATGAGATTGTTGTGTTTTTCTTTTTTTTTTTTTGAGATGGAGTCTAGCTCTGTTGCCCAGGCTGGAGTGCAGTGGCACGATTTCAGCTCACTGCAAGCTCCGCCTCCCAGGTTCACGCCATTCTCTTGCCTCAGCCTCCCCAGTAACTGGGACTGCAGGCGCCCGCCACCATGCCCAGCTAATTTTTTTGTGTTTTGAGTAGAGACAGGGTTTCACCGTGTTAGCTAGGATGGTCTCGATCTCCTGACCTCATGATCCACCCACCTTGGCCTCCCAAAGTGCTGGGATTACACGCGTGAGCCACAGGGCCGGGCCCTGTATTTTTCTCTTAAAGTACTGTAGATAACTGAATAGAGTTGTGTGTTATAATTAACCAGTAGAACATAATATGTAAGTCTAATTCAATATATTTGGTTTCAATCAAATTACAGTTAGCATTTCAAATAGTGCCAATTCTGTTGACTTACTGTAGAAATTCCTGAAGGAAACATAAAAACAGACAAATGAGAACTATGCAAAATATCAAAAGCTATCATTGTAACATCAACTTTTTCTGGGATTTCTTTTCATAATTTCTTTTGTTCTGATTACCTCCATGTTGAAGTCATGTTGGGGTCAACATGAAAGCCATTATAAAAATCAAACACTATTCCAGTATTTGATGCTTTATCTTTGTATGCAGTACAGTCCAAGGAATGGAAGGAATCGCAGCAGTCAACCTTGGTGCAGGCAATAAGGGATGCATTATTTACAGATAATTTAAAAACAAAAAAACCTATGAAAAGTGAGCCTGCTTTTATCAGCAGCAATGACAGTGATAAAATACTTCTCCTTATTGGGCAGAGGCTCCCCAGTACCCTACCCTTGGTGTACGTCTGCCAGCATAAGCTCAAAAGTACTAGATGCCCAATGCTTTTGAGATGCTTATTGCAGATGGATCTCATTCTCGCCTTTATTTTCAATTTTTGAAAATATAAATGTAGAAGAATATATTATCAGTGTTAAGGCAGCCTACAATCTGTTATAACTTTAAATGTAAAATATACATAATGAATTTTTTTAAAAAAATTCCAATGAAGTTGAGAGAGGAATTGTGGACATAAGTAACTTTCTACCTGAACTTTTAAATACTGATACCCCACTGTTTGAAAGTCATGACTAGGTGCCTAAGGAAATAAGTGAAAAATCAAAATATGTCATACTTGCATTTAATGTATGAGAATTTGTTTTGACCACAGAACCCAACTCCCACTGAGGATTTCACTCCCTGATAGTCATTCCAAAACTTAGTATAAGACTTTTATTTTTTTTCTATATAAGGAATTTAGTCTCAAATAAGCATTCCTCACTTTATTGGCCTAGACTGAACAAGGCAATGGCTAGTGGCAATCTAGTCCACAATTAATGAAGATCATATTTTTGCTGACTCCTTGGACCCTGAGTTCATGAAGATATGAAGCACTGAGGCAACAATAAAAAAATACATTAACAAAAATAAAGCACACATTAAAGCACAAAAGCACCTTCATCAATGTTCTCACCACCTGTGGTTCCCACCTTACAGAATTTTCCATCTGTTAGCTATAACACTCTAGAGTTAGGAAAGTAACTAGTACTTTACAAATATTTTTCCTTTCAAATGCTTTGTTACTGTTAGAGAAAAAAAGAACGTAATAAAAAAAAGAAAACCACAAACATTTTATATACATGCAAAAAGGCAATAAAGTGACAAAATGTTTAGAAAAAGCATGTGAAAAAGAGTAAAATCATTATTAGTAAATGTAAAACAATAATTTTACTTGCCTTGGTTAGGTGTCTGATTTTTTCTTTCCTTTGTGAGAACACTGACTAAACTAGAATGACCAGAGGTTCATTTCCAGAATATATTATTCATGTCGTTATTTATATGTGTGTTTGCATATGTGGCATGAAATCTGTCATACTATGTAAAGGATATATGTTTCACCAAAAGGCAGGAAAAAACCATACCTTTGTTATTTAGAAATCAACTCACAGTTGCATAATCAAACCTAATCATTGTTGTTTTCATATAAATTTTGCTTTATTAGTGAGTTGGCTTTGAGGAAATGTGTATTTCCACGGTAAACCAAGTATGTGTTAATTTCTTGAGCAAGTAGGATTCCAGTATCAGAATACATTCTTTTTTTTTTTTTTTTTTTTTTTTTTTTTGAGGCGGAGTTTCACTGTTGTTGCCCAGGCTGGAGTGCAATGGCACGATCTCGGCTCACCACAACCTCCGCCTCCCAGGCTCAAGCAATTCTCCTGCCTCAGCCTCCCTAGTAGCTGGAATTATAGGCATGCGCCACCACGCCCAGCTAATTTTGTATTTTTGGTAGAGACGAGGTTTCTCCATGTTGGTCAGGCTGGTCTCGAACTCCTGACCTCAGGTGATCCACCCGCCTCGGCCTCCCAAAGTGCTGGGATTACAGGCGTGAGCCACTGCGCCCGGCCTATCAGAATACATTCTTAAATACATTATTTCTAAATAAGGCATAGCACATTACTTAATCTTACAAGGAACTTATAATTAGGATCTTCATTAATAAATACATATTTATAAATATATGATTGCTATGCTTGTTAAAGGCACTGACCGTTGACCATTATATATTATTTCTATATGTATATATACAAAGTGTATCTATATATAACTATGTATCATTATATGATATAAAATATATAACAAAATAATGTATAATGTATACCCTATATTTATATACAAGTATATATACACTATATATATACACAAGTGTTTATATACAAGTGTATATATATAGACAATGGTAAAAGGTCAGTGCCTTCAACAAAGCACAGCAATAATATATTTAAATAAATATGTATTTATTAATGAAGGTCCTAATGATAAATTCCTTGTAAGATTAAGTAATGTGCTATGCCTTAATTAGAAATAATTAATTTACATATACTTGTTTTACCTGTGGAAATACACATTTCCTTATATACCTGTATATATACAAGTGTGTATATACATATATAAAATATATATATATAAAAAATGGCAAAAGGTCAGTGCATTTATACATATTTATAATGTGTATGTTTTACCTTTGGTTTATATGACTTATATTTATATATATGAATATACATAAATTTATAAAAATGGAAGACTAGCTGGAAACCAGAATCTGACTTCAATCTGGTAAAAATAAAATTTCCCAGTTAGTTTGTAAATTAGTTTTTTGAAATTTAGAAAATAGTATCTCATTGGACCAATATTAAAAATTGTTTCATTCCCAGGTAAGTCTACAGAAATCTATTTAATTTAAATAAATGTTAGTACCATGCTTAAAAGAGAAACTATTTTCCTTTTTATAAGCTGGTTTTGTTTTGATTTGTTTCCTAAAGGAACTGGTTTTTAGCAAGGAGACCGAGAAACTCTACTCCCTAGGGGCTAGCAATGAGAGAAAGGAAGCCTTAAGTCTTTGAGCACAGGGTGACAGTTTGGGTCCTATGTGAGGTGATCAAGTCCATAGTAACAGAGGGAAGGACAAAAGGAAAAGGTCTGTAGCAGCACTACATTAGAAAAAATGGATTCAGCAAGGAAGTGGGTGACTCTGAGTAAGCATCCATGTCAGGATGGTTTTGCTACAGCCCCCACCCAAACATTAATTTAAGTTTAAGAAACTCAACCTTGGTTGACAAGTGAAAGTTTGGAAAAGTAACAAAGAACAACTTAAGTAACAAAATAATTTCTCAGGTCATTACAATGGATGTTTCCTGTAACTGAAAAATATAGTTAAAAAGTACAAGCTGGCCGGGCGCGGTGGCTCAAGCCTGTAATCCCCGCACTTTGGGAGGCGGAGACGGGTGGATCACGAGGTCAGGAGATCGAGACCATCCTGGCTAACACGGTGAAACCCCGTCTCTACTAAATATTACAAAAAACTAGCCAGGCGAGGTGGCGGGTGCCTGTAGTCCCAGCTACTCGGGAGGCTGAGGCAGGAGAATGGCGTGAACCCGGGAGGCGGAGCTTGCAGTGAGCCGAGATCTGGCCACTGCACTCCAGCCTGGGCGACAGAGCAAGACTCCGTCTCAAAAAAAAAAAAAAGAAAAAGAAAAAAAAAAAAAAAAGTACAAGCTACATTTGGTGGGTAAACTGTTTAGTTCTTAATTCCAAACTAAATTGTACATTATATAGTAAAATTTTGGCCAGAAAAACTTGGAGATTTTAGTAAAAATTTCATTGACATATTTACAGCCCCAATGTAGTTTGGCCAGTTTGCAAAGCCTGACTAAGGAGGTTGTAGAGAAAAATATCAGACTTAAGCCCATCAGATCATTAAAGATGCTTTGGCGAGACTTCAGGCTTTACAGACATACTCTGTATGACCGGAGATGTCATAACCAGTGTTCTTTCTCTTGAAATGTTACAGTGCTTTAGTTTTATTCTATCATTTCCCTATTCCATGGAACAGCATCCACTTCTCCCAATTTTAGTAGCATAGTGAGAGATATATTGAGTGTATAGAGCAGGAAAGGCATGAAAACTTATATTGCATAATATTAGTAAACAAAAAATATAACATTATAAATTTTTAAAAATCCAAAAAAATTCCAGAAACAGAACAGTGAGCATGTTTAAAAAGTCAAGACTGACCATTTCTGGGAGCTCTGAGGACTGTAAATGAGCCTCAATCCATAAAGCTGAGAGGTTGTCTTAGCCCACATATGCAGCAGGTGACTCCCTCTGACAAAAGCAGTATTTAGCTGGATCTTTTAAAAATAACAATATACTTGTATTTGAGAATAACAATAATATAGTTATATTGTAAAATACTTTTATAATATAATGTACATTTATATTATATAATAATACATACTTGATAGATATTTTAGTCTATTATTAGTTTTATTCTTCAAATATGCCTGGAAAAACATTTAAGTGTATTTATAAATGTAAATATTTAAATGTTATCAAGTATTGGAAAACATGTTTGATTACTATGGAAATATAAATTAAACTCCCCAAGTATTCTATAGAAGATGTACACATCTATAGTATATAACAGAATTAGAGATTCCTTCCTCCCCTTCTTCCTTTATTCTGAGGAAAGAGGTAGTGAAATTGAGCTTTAGTTTTTAACAGGTTAGAAAAAGGAATCTTTTTACATATCTACTAAAAGTTCTATTATTAAATATCTAAGTTTTTAAGTCACTTGGTTTCCTAGATACTTCGATGGAATCAGCAGCCATTGATACAACCCCAACTCCAAGACTGGAACGTCGCAATGATAGTTCTAAGGCGGAAATTTGACGTAATTCTTTTCGACACAGTTTTACCGGTGTAATACCATGAAGCTGTCCCACATTTCCCGCAACCAGAATTTGGGATGATAGTCGACTGTGAGATTTTGTAAACTGATTATCACCTATTTCTGTTTTATCCTCATTACTTAACATATGCCCACTGGGGGGTGCTAAAGAACTATGAATTGGAGGTAATTCTGGGATATCTTCCCAGAGCTTCTGAGGATTTGGCTGTGTTCTTAAGCTGCTTGCTGAACTGTCCATTTCTCTTTCTCTTCCACTTAATTTCATACTTTCAGGTCTGGATGCCCATTTTAATTCTTCTGAAAGCATGCCTCCTCCTTCTGGCTTCAGGACTCCATCTCCAGCCTCATGATCTAAAAATAATCCCCAAACCAAAAAATTAGATATTATTTCCTCAAAATTAGGTGTTTTAATCAAAACATCTTAACATAAATACATTATTATCACCCAATATGCATAATATTTTTCAACTTTTTTGTTAAATGACTTATTTTAGATGAACAGATGTGTGAATATATTTTTATTTCACTTATAGGCATCTTGCATGTGAATAACTCACAACTTTAATTCATGGAACAAAGTTGAGAAATAGTCTTTCGGGGGTTTGGTACTCCCTGGAAACATAAGAGTGCTTTGGGCGCCTCTTGTGCCTTTCCATGCTTGCCTTCTCTGCTGGTCTTGCTACTAGTGAATTCTAAATCATGGCCAAGTGATGCCAGCACTGGATAATATTGGCTCTGCCCCGTATCTCAAGGGAAAACTCTGGGACTTGGCATTATATGTGTGGAAGTCTGGTCTTGGTTGGCACTCCCAGCATGATAGCAGTGTTCTGCTGTCTGAATGTACTATGGGGTGTGTGCCACAATTTCTGTCATCAAAATGGAAATGAGAGAATACGCCCTAGGTGGGGACACCCCACTGGAATTAGAGGGAAGAGATCAAAGCTAGAGGTTCTTAAAGAATATCTGATATCAAAGACAAAAACTTGCTTAAGGGAAATGCATTATAGGTACTAGACCTAATATGATGAAAAATGCCAACTTTAACATTGATGCATGCTTAGTATACTTTTCATCCTGCGAAGACAACGTTTTTCTTTTCTTTTTTTTTTTTGAGATGGAGTCTTGCTCTGTCGCCCAGGCTGGAGTGCAGTGGCACGATCTCGGCTCACTGCAAGCTCCGCCTCCCGGGTTCACACCATTCTCCTGCCTCAGCCTCCTGAGTAGCCGGGACTACAGGCGCCCGCCACCACGCCCGGCTAGTTTTTGTATTTTTAGTAGAGACGGGGTTTCACCGTGTTAGGCAGGATGGTCTCGATCTCCTGACCTCAGGTGATCCGCCCACCTTGGCCTCCCAAAGTGCTGGAATTAAGGCATGAGCCACCGTGCCTGGCCCAGTCCTGCAAAGACAAAGTTTTAAAACACAGGTTGCACATTGGCAGCTCCCAAGACAAATCTGGCCCAGAGACATGTTTTGCTCAGCCTATAATGTTAGTAATACTTGACTCAAAATTTAAAAATTGAAAAGTTTCTTATAAAAATAGAGATTTACAGCTTTTATAGAAAAACTGTAAGAGTTAACAGTTTCTAAATTGCAACAGCAGCTGGAACACAGTTGCCACTGACCATTTAGATGACTGCTGCAGTCCCCACTGCTCACTGTGGCTTCCCTGGCTCAGGTAGGCATTCTAGTTTGTAACCCCTGGTTTAAAACATAACTGACTCTCTAGTTTTTAAAATTACCTCAAAATCAAACAATCTAAAATAGCAAATGATCTAGATCCTCGTACATGGAACTCATACAAAGTTGACCACAGACAGTGGCTCCCAGACTTTGCTGTACTTCAGAGTCACTGGGAAGCTTTTAAAAATGTTGCACCCTAGCTGGATGCAGTGGTTCATGCCTGTAGCCCCAGCTACTCGAGAGGCTGAGGTGGGAGGATTGCTCAAGCCCAGGAGTTTGAGGCTGCAGTGAGCCATGATTGTACCACTACACTCCAGCCTGGGCAACAGAGCGAGACCCCAACTCTAACAAAAAAAAAAAAAAAAAAAAATTCGTGCTCCCCAGATGACAGTATGTGGGGGAAGGAGTAAGACATCTTATTTTCAAAAGATGATAAGAGGCTCCAAAGCCCAGTTGGATTCTTCACAAGAAAGTTTCCCTTTTCCAGAATTTTATAATTGAGGGAACCAACTAGGGAAAGATTAATTTGCCCAAGGTCAGATGACTAGTGAAAGAAGTAAGGATTCCGCCCCAGATCTTTTGACTCCATTATCCTTACACATAGTTTTATAGTGATTTAAATTGATACGAGGATAGGTTTAAATATAAGTAGAGAGAATGCAGGTTCATATAAAACTGATTTTATCCTGTTAGAAGACATATACACTGTAACATAGGATGACCATCAAGTGACCCAAGATATTTTAGTCAAAAGATGAATTTTTCTGCAATATGAAAATGCCAAAAATATTCAAAGAAAATATAAGTCTTGTAGACAGTCTTCTATCAAAACCCACTGAACTGCCAGGCACGGCGGCTCACGCCTGTCATCCCAGCACTTTGGGAGGCCGAGGCTGGTAGATCACCTGAGGTCAGGGGTTCGAGACCAGCCTGGCCGAAATGGTCTCTACTAAAAATACAAAAAATTAGCCGGGCCTGGTGGTGGCACCTGCAATTACTCGGGAGGCTGAGGCAGGAGAATCACTTGAACCCAGGAGGTGGAGGTTGCAGTGAGCTGAGATAGCGCCACTGTACTCCAGCCTGGGTAACAAGAATGGAACTCCATCTCAAAAACAAAAAATAAACAAAAAAACACTGCACCAAATACCAAGATAGTTATTTATTAACTAGGATACTGATTATTAAGCATGTAAAACATTTTCTGGAACTCAAGAGTTTGATATAAATTGCTACATTTTATAATTCAAACAAACCTTGTTTCATGTCATTATATTAGAGTAGCATTATGAGATAGGATGTAGTGTAAACTATATCCCCAATATAGTTGCAACTGTATATTTTAAAGCATGGGGAAAATATGAAAAGAATTATGCTCAAATGTGGGTAGGATTATAACTGATTTGTTTTCTTCATTTTCAGATTTTTCTATAATGACTATACATTACTTTTTATAGCCAAAAACAGAAGTATTTTAAATGTTTCTAGGTAGAATAGCAAATTAGCTGAATAGTATCTCCAACGTCATTATCAAGACTAGACTCCTTGGGTTAGTTGGTCAGAACAGTGTTATTCTCATTGTACACCTCTCCAAAATTAACTATGTTTTAGATTTGTGTGTTTGGTTAAAGAGCAGGATGAAGATCCTGATTTCTTAAACCTGTATATCACATTGTCATTTTAAAGAAATGTCTAGTAGACTCAGTGGCATAAACATGGGCCATTTACAAACTAGATGTCTAATATCAGATACCTCAAATTTGACAGTAGATTTTTTTTAAAAGCTAAAGTGGTCTTATGTTGATTATTCTGTTTCTTACTTGATACCTGTTTACTTTTTAATTTTTGGCAAGTAATGTTTCAAGTTAAAGTTTTAGCTATATATAGCCAGCAGTATTTCAAGTAAATGAGTTTATCGGTAAGTACCTCTGTATTACTATACTGAGAATCAGAAAGTGTCATCTCTTTGGCAGGATTTATATGTTTGTATCACATCTTTATCCTAAGGCAACTTTTATCCTGGAATACTGAACCAGCAGTCAGAAGATGAGGGACAACATTGACTATGTTACAGTTATTGTTCTGTCCATACGTCACTTGCCTTCTCTAAGCGTCAATGGCCTCATCTGAAAATGCAGTTAGCAGACCTCAGCCTATCCTGAGTTTGGGGGCTAAAGGGAATTATTTTTGAAAATGTCTATACATGATAAGTGTCACAAATATAAGTTAGCATTTTTTTGAGACAGAGTTTCGCTCTTGTTGCCCAGGTTGGAGTGCAATGGCATGATCTCGGCTCACTGCAACCTCAGCCTCCCAGGTTCAAGTGATTCTCCTGCCTCAGCCTCATAAGTAGCTGGGATTACAAGCATGCACCACCACACCCAGCTAATTTTGTATTTTTTAATAGAGACGGGGTTTCACCATGTTGGTCAGGTTGGTCTTGAACTCCTGACCTCCAGTGATCCACCCGCCTTGGCCTCCCAAAGTGCTGGGATTACAGGCGTGAGCCACCGCACCTGACCAATTCTACTTCTATGACATATTCAGCATGTATCACTTCATTGCTCATCCATATTATTTTTCACTGGTCTTCTTACATCTTGTGTGCCCATCTTTAAGTAGTTTTCTTTCCAGGTAAAAAATCAGTGTGTGCCTAAAAGATTTTAAAGTCAAGCTTTTCATAAACTATACTTAAATTACTGAAGTTATTACAATTAAGTTATTAGCATTATTAGCTAATTCTTTTATACAATGTAGACTTTATTATTTTAGAAATATTGATTCCTATATATTCAGCTATCTTAAAGAGGGTATATTTTAATCATAGCAATATATTACCTTCATAGTATTTTTTACTTTTGCAAAGTATATTTTGTCATATGTTATCATTTCATTTAGGAATGCGCTAAATCTACATATCTACATATAATTATACAAGGAAACATCTTCATCTTAAAAATAGGTTCTATTGTATTTTTTAATTTCCAGGGATCATGATATATAAAAAGACCTGATTTATCTTAAAAATACATACTTTTATCTACCTTACACCTTTTTAAATGATAATCAGAAGGCTTAATTTACTATAAAATTGAAATACAACAGCTATGTTAGATTATAGAGTTAATTTAGGGATTAAATGAGTTAAGGTCTACAAGCCCCTGGCACATGGCAGACAATCAATAATTGATCATTTCCTTTGCATCTATAAGTTTGTTCATTCATTCACTTCTCATGTGGTTCTATCTTAGACAACGATTTTTGTTTACAGAGACAAACAGAAGTATCAATCCTAAGTAACCCAATCAATTGGTAAAGGCTACACTACAAAGCTGGCATGACTTCACCAAACGCTAGAGAAACAGAGTGACAACACTAAAAGTCTTACACTCTGATGGTGCTAGTTGCCGCCGAATTGCTTCCCCTACCAGTTCCTTAAGTTTCTTCTTAAGATCCCGGCTGGTTTTCTTATAGAAATAAAGATCTTTTTCCAACTGCTGGATTTTATCTTCATATGTTTTGAAAGTTTCCATAATGCCTTCTTCATCTTGTTCTATACAACAAAAATTTGCATTTAAAATCAGTTTTACATAAATGATGCAAAATTATGTTTTTGTTTGTTTGAGACAGAGTTTCACACTGTCGCCCAAGCTGGAGTGCAGTGGCGCGAGCTGCTCGGCTCACTGCCAGTTCCGCCTCCTGGGTTCACACCATTCTCCTACCTCAGCCTCCCGAGTAGCTGGGACTACAGGTGCCTGGCACCGCACCCAGCTAATTTTTTTGTATTTTTAGTAGAAACGGGGTTTCATCGTGTTAGCCAGGATGGTCTCGATCTCCTGACCTCGTGATCCACCTGCCTCGGCTTCCCAAAGTGCTGGGATTACAGACATGAGCCACCATGCCCAGCTGCAAAATTATGTTTTAACACAGCCCCTGGACTATATAAGCATGTTACGCATATCTGTTACCTGAATGGGTTTGTTTTCAGCCACAATTTGGATGTCAGGTATTGATGCCAAGTATTGACTGTGTCTGTGAGGGTGTTGCCAAAGGAGGTTAACATTTGAGTCAGTGGGCTGGGGAAGGCACACCCACCCTTAATCTGGTGGGAACCATCTAATCAGCTGCCAGTGAATATAAAGCAGGCAGAAAAACATAAAAAGGCAAGACTGACCTAGCCTCCCAGCCTACATCTTTCTCCATGCTGGATGCTTCCTGTCCTTGAACATCAGACTCCAGGCTCTTCAGTTTCGAGACTCAGACTGGCTCTTCTTGCTCCTCAAGCTTGCAGACAGCCTACCATGGGACCTTGTGATTGTGTAAGTTAATAATAAACTCCCCTTTATATATATATGTAGACAGATATATTTATATATAGATATATTTATATAGATATCTATATATATTTATATAGTTATCTATATATATATTTTTTTATATATATATGTATTCTATTAGTTCTGTCCCTTGTCCCTCTAGAGAACCCTGACTAATATAGGTTTTGGTACCAGGAGTGGTTCTAGAGGAACAGAATATTAAGGATGGAGTTCTTTTGTTGGTTTTGGGGTTTCTGGAGTTAGCTGCTTAATCTGATTAGACCCAGAAATGCTAAGGACTCTACTTCTAATAGTACGGAGAACACTGATAGTCCTTGGCATGAACTGTTTAGGGAATTATGCAAAATAAATGCATTTGACACTCCTGATTCACTGCTCATGAGAGGCAAGGAGTTTAGTGACTCTGTACGTAATAAATTTGACCATATGTGGAGAACCACGGAACATAATGAAACTGGTTGGTTGCTCCTAAGTTCAGTGGACAAAGTGATGAAAGAAAATGATGAACTCTTCTACCTCAGTAAAATTTCTAGGGGTCCAGTGGTGTGGGGCCTGTCGAGATATTCCTTCTAAGGTGAAGGATAAGTTTCTGCATTTGGCCCTTCCTACAACCAAGAAAAGAGGCACAACGCCTAGTGGGCCTATTTGGATTTTGAAGACAGCACATTCCCCATTTGGGTGTGTTACTCTGGCCCATTTATCGAGTGACCTGAAAGGCTGCCAGTTTTGAATGGTGTGCAGAAGAGGAGAAGGCTCTGCAGTAGGTCCAGGCTGCTGTGCAAGCTCCCTGCCCCTTGGGCCATATGACCCAGCAGATCCAATGGTGCTTGAGGTGTCAGTGGCACACAGGGATGCTGTTTGGAGCCTCTGGCTGGTCCCCATAGGTGAATCACAGCAGAGGCTTCTAGGATTTTGGAGCAAGGCCCTGCCATCTTCTGTAGATAACTACTCTTCTTTTGAGAGACAGCTCTTGGCCTGTTACTGGGCTTTGGTGGAAACTGAATGTTTGACTATGGGTCATCAAGTCACCATGTGACCTGAACTGCCCATCATGAACACAGTGCTTTCTGACCCATCTAGCTATAAAGTGGGTCGTGCACAGCAGCATTCCATCATCAAATAGAAATGCTATATATGTGATCAGGCTCAAGCAGGTCCTGAAGGCATAAGTTACATGAGGAAGTGGCACAAATGCCCATGGTCTCCACTCACCACCCTGCCTTCTCTCCCCAGCCTGCACCAATGGCCTCATGGGGAGTTTCCTATGACCAGTTGACAGAGGAAGAGAAGACTAGGGCCTGGTTCACAGATGGTTCTGCACGATATGCAGGCACCACCTGAAAGTGGACAGCTGTGGCACTACAGCCCCTTTCTAGGACATACCTGAAGGACACCAGTGAAGGGAGATCTTCCCAGTGGGCAGAAATTCGAGCAGTGCACCTGGTTGTGCACTTTGCATGGAAGAAGAAATGGCCAGATATGCGGTTATATACTGATTCATGGGCTGTAGCCAGTGGTTTCGCTGAATGGTTAGAGACTTAGAAGAAGCATGATTGGAAAACTGGTGACAAAGAATTTTGGGGAAGAGATATGTGGATGGACCTCTCTGAGTAGTCAAAAACTGTGAAGATATTTGTATCCCATGTGAGTGTTCACCAACAGGTGACCTCAGCAGACGAGGATTTTAATAATCAAGCGGGTACGATAACCCGTTTTGTGGACACCACTCAGCCTCTTTCCTCAGGCACCCCTTTCATTGCCCAATGGGCCCACGAACAAAGTGGCCATGGTGGCAGGAATGTGGGCTCAGCAACATGGATTTCCACTCACCAAGGCTGACCTGGCTACAGCCACTGCTGAGTGCCCAATTTGCCAGCAGCAGAGACCAACACTGAGCCCTCAATATGGCACCATTCCTCAGGGTGATCAGCCAGCTACCTGGTGGCAGGTTGATTATATTGGACCTCTTCTGTCATGGAAAGGGCAAAGGTTTGTCCTCACTGGAATAGACACTTAACTCCGGATGTGGGTTTGCCTATCCTGCATGCAATACTTCTGCCAAGATTACCATCCGTGGACTCACAGAATGCCTTATCCACTGTCATGGTATTCCACACAGCATTGCCTCTGACCAAGTCACTCACTTCATGGCTAAAGAAGTGTGGCAGTGGGCTCATGCTCATGGGATTCACTGGTCATTCACAGGATGAAGGTCCCTATCACCCTGAAGCAGCTAGATTGATAGAACAGTGGAATGGCCTTTTGAAGTCACAATTACAACACCAACTAGATGATAATACTTTGCAGGGCTGGGACAAAGTTCTCCAGAAGGCCATATATGCTCTGCATCAGCATCTAATATATGATACTGTTTCTCCCATAGCCAGGATTCACGGGTCCAGGGACCAAGGGGTGGAAGTGGAAGTGGCACCACCCACCATCACCCCTAGTGATCCAGTAGCAACATTTTTGCTTTCTGTTCCCGCAGCATTACGTTCTGCTGGCCTAGAGGTCTTTGTTCCAGAGGAAGGAACACAGCCACCAGGAGACACACAATTAAAAGTTAAGATTGCCACCTGGACACTTTGGGCTCCACCTACCTTTAAGTCAACAGGCTAAGAAGGGAGTTACAGTGTTGGCTGGGTGACCTGGACTATCAAGATGAAATCAGTCTACTACTCCATAACAGAAGTAAGGAAGAGTATGCACGAAATACAGGAGATCCATTAGGGCGTCGCTTAATATTACCATGCTCTGTGATTAAGGTCAATGGGAATCTACAACAGCCCAATCCAGTCAGGACTACAAATGGTCCAGACCCTTCAGGAATGAAGGTTTGGGTCACTCCACTAGGAAAAAAACCCACAACCTGCTGAGGTGTTTGCTGAAGGCAAAGGGAATACAGAATGGGTAGCAGAAGAAGGTAGTCATCAATACCAGCCATGACCACGTGACCAGCTGCAGAAACGAGGACTGTAACTGTCATATTTCCTCCTTATTTTGTTAAAAACATGTTTGTGCATGTATACACTTGTACGAAGAAAATATCTTCATTTTCCTTTTCCTTTATCACGTGACACAAGATTTATTGACTTCACATCAGCATTTAAGTATTGTTAACTTTCTGTATTAGCGTTTGGGTTGGGGATTGGTGCATTTCTGGTTGTACGAAGGACAGCTGTATTATGTTAGGTGTAATTATAACCTATTATCTTTATTTGAAGATTATGTATGATCTCAGGAGATGTGTATACATGAGTTCAAGTTGACAAGGGATGGACTTGTGATGGTTAATACTGAGTGTCAACTTGATTGGATTGAAGGATGCAAAGTATTGATCCTGGGTGTGTCTGTGAGGGTGTGGCCAAAGGAGGTTAACATTTGAGTCAGTGGGCTGGGGAAGGCAGATCCAACCTTAATCTGGTACACCATCTAATCAGCTGCCAATGCATATAAAGCAGGCAAAAAACATAAGAAGGTGAGACTGGCCTAGCCTCCTACCCTATATCTGTCTCCCATGCTGAGTGCTTCCTGTCCTCGAACATCAGACTCCAAGTTCTTTAGTTTTGAGACTCGGGCTGGCTTCCTTGCTCCTCAAGCTTGCAGACAGCCTATTGTGGGACCTTGTGATCGTGTAAGTCAATACAATAAACTCCCCTTTATATTTATATATATATGTCCGATATATATCCTATATATTTTATATATCTCGTGTGTGTGTGTGTGTGTGTATATATATCATATTAGTTCTGTCCCTTTAGAGATCCTTGATTAATACAGATGGGGTCCTACTATGGTGCCCAGGCTGCTTTCAAGTAAGCCTCCTACCACAACCTTCCAAAATGCTGGGACTATAGGCATGAGCCACTGCACCCAGCCACAACTTTGTTATGAACAATTTGTACAGCTATAGAAATGAATGACTTTTTTACTTTTTTTTTTTTTTTTTTTTTTTTGAGACAGGGTCTTACTCTGTCACCCAGGCTGGAGTGCAGTGGTGTGACCACAGCCACTGCAGGCTCAACCTCTGGGACTCAGGTGATCCTCCCATCTCAGCCTCCCAAGTAGCTGGGACTACAGGCGCGTGCCACCACGCTTGGCTGGTTTTTTGTATTTTTTGTAGAGATGGGGTTTCACCATGTTGTCCAGGATGGTCTCGAATTTCTGGGCTCAAACGATCCTCTTCACTCAGCCTCCCAAAGTGCTGGGATTACAGGGATGAGCCACCATGTTTGGCCAAGTTTTTATATATTCTTATTTGGCCATAGCATGAACTTTTGTAGTATAATCCCAGTCACTTTAAAAAATATTAAAATATCAGTTTCAGAACTAAACTAAGGTAAGGAGAGCATGTTAGAATGTAATGATGTGTGAGATCTTGCAAGGAAATTGTCATTAGGCAACTGGTTGCTAATTAACCAGTGACAGAATTAACTTAGAGGCAAATTGCCTCAACACTCAAATTCACAGATTTTTTCCAGTTTTCTGCTTACTCAGGTTGCTTCTTCCAGATCCCTTTTGATCTATTTTCAGTTATGGGTTTATGAGAATCAAGACTAAGCAGCTTGAATTGAAGGAGTAACAGTATCACCTAACAATGATTTTGCTGCCATAGTAGCTGTCTGTATACTGGCCATATGCTTAGGTAAAATGAGGCCAGATCACTCTGAGAGTTTTCTCTCAGAGTTGGGGTGGTGAACTACTGCTCACTGATAATGGTACGTGCCCATCAATGGCAGTATAATTTTGACCCAAGATATAACTTTAATGCATAAAATTTTATAATCAACTGACAATTATAACCAGAAATATAACTAGGAATATGACAGAACCTATCACTTTAATTTTGTGAGTGGAAAATAACTTAAATATGATAGTATTATATCCCTGGGAAATAAAAAAAAATTCAACTGTATACCAAAAAGCCTGAATTAATCCCACATTTCTACATAAAGACTAGACCAACAACAAGCTGACAGGATTGTAGCAGTTCTTATGTGCATACTGGAGGCAGGCAGAAGGGAGGGCATTCCAAGCACGAATAGCCCTACAACAAAGTCAACTGTCCCAAAATGCAGCAACCAAAGCATGTAAAGCCCAAAAACTTAGACAAGTAGCAACTATTTAAACATGTTGAGCTTTTAAGTGATCAAATTCTGTCCTGTCTTCCTCCAGTACCCCCACCTACACATCGACTTTACCTAACTGTCAAAAAGGGGAAGTTACCTTTGAAATGATGTAACAGCAACTGCATCTTTTGTTCATGTTCCTTTTGCTGGAGGGTCAGTCTCCGGTCACACTGCAATTTTAGATGGTCCAATGCAGATTCTAATTCACGAACCATATTATCCCGTTCCAGAACTTTCATTTTCATTTCTTCATTATATAACTGTTGTTTCCGTTCAGCTTCTCGCAAATTCACCACCTAGCAAATACATATTTTGACCTGTTAAGTGTGTCTTAGATAAGCTAATATAATAATCTACTTTTCTTAGGCTACTTAAAGATCAATTTCCTTAATCTCCATAGTGTAAATGATTCCTGCCAGGTATTGGGTCCTTAGGCAAATGCTTTGCAACATATTTACAAAACAACCTAACAGCCTTTTGAATATGTTGGAATTCAGGCTAGGCACGGTGGCTCATGCCTGTAATCCCAGCACTTTGGGAGGCTGAGGTGGGAGTTTGAGACCACCTGACCAACATGGTAAAACCCTATCTCTACTAAAAAAAAATACAAAATTAGCTGGGTGTGGTGGTGCATGCCTGTAATCCCAGCTACTTGGGAGGCTGAAGCAGGAGAATGCCTTAAACCCGGGAGGCGGAGGTTGCAGTGGGGCCAAGGTCGCCCCATTGCACTCCAGCCTGGGTGACAAGAGCAAAACTCCATCTCGAAAAGAAAAAAAAAAAAAAAAAGAATTTGTTGGAATTCTGATTTGATGACACTTTCTATTACTTTTTTTTTTTTTTTTTTTTTTGAGATGGAGTTCGCTCTATTGCCCAGGCTGGAGTGCAGTGGCGCGATCTCGGCTCACTGTAAGCTCTGCCTCCCAGGTTCACACTATTCTCCTGCCTCAGTCTCCCAAGCAGCTGGGACTACAGGCGCTCACCACCACGCCCAGCTAATTTTTTGTATTTTTAGTAGAGATGGGGTTTCACCGTGTTAGCCAGGATAGTCTCAATCTCCTGGCCTTGTAATCCACCCGCCTCAGCCTCCCAAAGTGTTGGGATTACAGGCGTGAGCCACCGCGCCCGGCCAACCCTTTCATTTTTAATGTACTGTCGCTCTAATAATCACCCTTCCATAATTTCTTAAATGTAATCTATGTGGTTTACATTTAATAATTCTGTAACTTTATTTCTCTAGTCTAAGTGGATAGTGAGAGGGTAAAGATTCTTGAAACATCTAGACAATTCCAAGTTTAAACTCCAGAATGGATGTTATAAATAAGTGACAGTTTGGGTGTTTTGTTGTTGTTGTTGTTAAGATGGAGTCTCACTCTGTCACCTCAGGTTGGAGTGCAGTGGTGTAATCATAGTTCACTGCAGCTTCCAACTCCTGAGATCAAGTGATCCTCCCACCTCAGCCTCCCACATAGCTGGGAGCACAGGTACATGCCATCATGCCTGGCTAATTTTTTAAAAAAATTTTTTCATAGAGACAGGGTCTCACTATGTTGCCCAAGCTAGTCTTGAATTCCTGGCCTCAAGTGATCCTCCTGCCTCGGTGTCCCAAAGCACTGGGATCCTCCTACCTCAGTGTCCCAAAGCCACCACACCCAGCCATGTTATGCATTTTGTCTATTGGATTCTTCCCTGCTGATGTAAAGTAAAAATACTTCAGATAATGTCTACATCACAGAACTTGTTAATAATCTAATGACCTCTCCAGAAAAATAATCATTAATACAGGGGTTCCCAGGATCAGAAAATCCACTGACCTTAGTCAGGTTGCCTTGCTTTAAGAGTAGCACAAGGGCCAGGTGGGGTGGCTCACACCTGTAATCCCAGCACTTTGGGAGGCCGAGGCAGGAGGGTCACGAGGTCAGGAGTTTGAGACCAGCCTGGCCAACATGGTGAAATCCCATCTCTACTAAAAATACAAACATTAGCTGGGCATGGTAGCATATGCCTGTAATCCTAGCTACTCAGGAGGCTGAGGCAGGAGAATTGCTTGAACCCAGAGGGCGGAGGTTGCAGTGAGCCGAGATCACACCAGCCTGGACAACAGAGTGAGACTCCGTCTCAGGGGAAAAAAAAAAAAAGAGCAGCATAAAGAGTTATCTATATCAAAGGACTCCACCATCTTTCTACCCTCCAAACATGCAATAATAGGATGCACTCTCATCAATAACAGTAACAGCAGCTTACTACTGATGATGATTATCCAAGAGGAGGCTGTGCATAACATTTGTCATTTTTCTTCCTTATTTTACAGAATTATAATTTTATTTAATTTTTTTGAGACAGGCTGTTGCTCTGTTGCCCCAGGCTGAAGTGCAGTAATGATCATAGCTCACTACAAACTCAAATTCCTGGGCTCATGTGATCCTCCTGCCTCAGCCTCCCAACTATCTAGGACTACAAGTGTATGCTACCACACCCGGCTAATTCTGGTATTTTTTGTAGAGACAGGATCTCAAATTCTGGGCTCAAATGATTCTCTTGACTCAGCCTCCCAAAGTGCTGGGATTACAGGCATGAGCCACTGCGCCCGGCCTTAGGACTTAATTTTAAAATATCAGTGTTTCATTTTTCATTAATTGTCAGATATTCCCATAAATTGAATGTACTTTTCAGAGAAAGGGTTATCTCATTGTTTAACACTTCATAATATATATCTTAAGTGGAAAAGACATTAGAGAAAAGATGGATATAGTTCTCAATGCTGTGAAACATCTCTGGATTAGAAAATGGTTTAATCTGTAAAAAATACAACATTTTAATTGATTTAGGTACATTCAGGTTAATAAAATCTATTATTATCTTTGCCACTGATACACCACTTCATCTTCATTTCAACTAATACATGACGAGAAAGTACAGATTCCTCTACCCTATAGCAATGAAGGAAAGGGAATCAAAACTTGGAGGGCCTTTGATTTTTCATGAGTGCCAGGTAGCAACATCCAAATCTAGAAATCATCCAAGAAATAATGAGCAAGGAATATAACTTAAATTCTTTGGTTTTAAAAACTTTCAAAAAGGACTTCTTTTGAAAGACCCTCTAACTTTAAGAACCTCACAAAGTTAGGCCTACATATTTGGATAATCACAAAGCTTTCAGATGACAACATTTAGTTCTATAAAGAGAAATCATGCTTAAATTTGTAGTTACACCATCAAATTTTTTAGTCTTTCAATTTCTTTAAAAATTCAAAATAAATGTAGGATGTAAGCATCTTGACCCATCTTTATAAGAAAAATATTCTGACCCTCAAAAACAAACCTTATTGAAATATCTGAAAAGAATAGCTCTAATCTCAACAGGACTCAGGCAAGCTATTTGTTCCAAGACATTTGCTTCACTATGAGAGAGGTTATGGAATGATGCTCTAAGTGAGTTCCGGCGACGCTGGATACTTTCATTCTTATATTCAATTGCAGCTTCCAAAGCTTCAATCCCTTCTTCAAGTTGGAAAAGAACATGTTCTTCCTAGATATAACAGAAATCACTCATTTTAAATGAAATAGTTTAACTTTGATGTCATATACTCAGATCCTACTAAACTATTTGAGTCTAATGGACATTACCACTCTTTTACTAGATTTTAAGAAAATGTTTTTTGAGTGCTTGCTATACCATATATACACACATGTATACACACACACACACACACACACACACACACACAACATATTAACATAATCGTTAAGCCCTCACAATAAACCTGATGGAATGAAATGGAAAAGACAGAAGTTTAGGTGAGTTCTGAAATGTTCCAAGGTCATACAACAAATGCTGATCATCTAATCCAAGGAATATACTTGAACAAAGCCTAAGCCCACAGGATTAGCAGTATTGTCATGTATCTCCTCCATAACCCCTAAAGTGCATATTATGTGTCAATATTTCCACTAGTGAGATCCAGAGATTTACTGTTGTCCCTTCAATGATCTATCAAAACAATATACTGCCTAGAGGGAATAACTTACTCTAAACATTTAGAATAAGTTAAGAACTAGTAATAAAAAAAAGCACAATATGGCATTAAAAAGTAGTGAGGATTTAAGTATCTGACATATTTCATAAGATTCCTATGAAATGTTATTAGAAGGAAAATGTAGGCGTTATAAAATAGGGCAGCATAGTATTTTTTCACATACCAGAGAAGATCGATGAATCCCTGTCGGAAAACCTACAAGTTTTTTTTTCTTTTTTTCTTTTTTTTGGACACAGGGTCTCACTATGTTGCCCAGGCTGAACTCAAACTCTTGGCTCAAGCGAACCTCCTACCTTGCCCTCCTGAGTAGCTGGGACTACAGGCACACGCTACCATGCCCAGCTCTTCCAGTTCTTTGAACTATCCAAATACATGTTATGTTGGTGATACAAATCTCTGGCAAGGAATTACCTCAGATTGGTGAGACTTGGATATATGTTTCCATATACCTATACCTATTGTGGAGGCCACCTCAATAAGTTCCTGTGGCAGACTGTCTTGTCCATCTGCACACCCTTATTGCCCAGCACAGTACTTATTATATAGTTTGAACTCAGTATCTGTTAACTTAAGAAAGAGGAGAAAAAATTTTTCATGTGTCCTTGGTTACAGGACCCATGTTATTTCTCTCCACTCCTCCCCCTAACACCCCAAAGGAAAATAATGTGAATATTTCTTTCTTTCTTTTTTTTTTTTTTCTTTCTGAGACAGGGTCGTGGTGGGATCTCAGCTCACTGCAACCTCCACCTCTTGGGTTTAAGGATTTAAGCAATTCTCCTCCCTCAGCCTCCCAAGTAGCTGGGATTATAAGTGCATGCCATCACGCCTAGCTAATTTTTGTATTTTTAGTTGAGAAGGGGTTTCGCCACATTGGCCAGGTTGGTCTTGGAACTCCTGACTTCAGGTGATCTGCCTGCCTCAGCCTCCCAACGTGATGGGATTATAGGTGTGAGCCACCATGCCTGGCCAAGAGTGTGAATATTTCTGATCTACCTAAAGAAAAATGCTCATCAGCCATTCTTTTTCTCTGTGCAATCACTAACCATATGGAATTTGATAGTTTGATCATTGCTTCATAAGGAATAAAATAATATTTACCTTTTCAAGAAAAAAAACCCTTAAATACTAAAATGTACTTAGGTGAACAAGTAAGAAGAGCCACAAATAAAAGTGAATTATCCAAAATAGAGTAAGTCCTTATCATCAATAGGTTCTTGGAAGCTGTGACTTTAAGAGAAACAATATATAATACAATAATTTTTTTTTCCTATTAACTTCATAACAAAAGCAACTATGTTGAAGGAAAACAATGTAATTTGAGGACCTGATGTACATGGTGTCTCTTAAAGTCACAATTTCCAAGAACCTATCCACAGTGTTCAGTGAGGACTTTACTGTACTTGACTTTTGAATTCATACTGTGACTATATTTAATCAAAAACAAATGTGAAGAGTTTGCCTTTATACGTGGCTGAGGACAATTTCATATAAATTCAGTTTCTATGGTTTTGGATCTAAGTTAAGGAAGTACTGAGATAATATAAGGTAGTATGAATATAGAAACCCAAGGACAGCCCGCTCCAGTGAGGCTGCAGCATATCAATGTTTGTAGTTCCCTCTAACTCAGCAATAGGTATAGGTTGACAAGATACGTGGCAATGGGAAACTATCCTGGGATGAAAAATTTGTCACAATACAAACCACAGGTTATCAAGAGTTGACTGTTTTATGATTGAACACTGCTTTTCAACTTTAATGTGTACCGAGGAGCTCACTAGAATTCAGATTCTGATCCAGCAAGTCCAATTGGGGCCTAAGGATCTGCATTTCTAACAAGATCCCAGGTGATGCTGTTGCTGCTGGTCCAGAGCCCAAGTAAAATGAAACAAAAAACTAATGATAACTTTTAAGCAAGCACTGCATAGATTTCTCTATAAATTATATGTTCTCAGCAGGGTGCGGTGGCTCATGCCTGTAAACCCAGCACTTTGGGAGGCTGAGGCGGGTGGATCACTTGAGGTCAGGAGTTCGAGACCAGCCTGACCAACATAGCGAAACCTCGTCTCTACTAAAAATACACAAATTAGGCTGGGCGCAGTGGCTCACGCCTGTAATCCCAGCACTTTGGGAGGCCAAGGTGGGCGGATCACGAGGTCAGGAGATCGAGACCATCTTGGTCAACGTGATGAAACCCCATCTCTACTAAAATACAAAAAATTAGCCAGGCGTGATGGCACGTGCCTGTAATCCCAGCTACTTGGGAGATTGCAACAGGGGAATCGCTTGAACCAGGGAGGTGGAGGTTGCAATGAGCTGGGATCATGCCACTGCACTCTAGCCTGGTGACAGAGCAAGACTCTGTCTCGGAAAAAAAAAAAAAAAAAAAAAAAAAAAAAAAATTAGCTGGGCATGGTGGCACAAGTCTGTAATCCCAGCTACTCGGGAGGCTGAGGCAGGAGAATTGCTTGAACCCAGGAGGCAGAGGCAGTGAGCCGAGATCGCACCACTACACTTCAGCCTGAGCAACAGAGACTCCATTTCCAAAAAAAAATTGTATGTTCTCATAAAATGCGAAATTGAAAGTTTAAAAGATTAAATAAAGATAATAGTTCTTATATTTTCCTCCCTACTTACTAAGCAACTACTCTGTATTATTAGAAACCTAAGGTTCAAGTATTCTTTAATTTTAGTTTCTGAATTTTACCAAAAAAAAAAAAAAAGAGCACTGTGACTTGTCTGTAGTAAATTGTTGAGTAATCTTCTATTAGTGTAATGATCTAAAATCTATCAATTTCCATAAAGTAATAAAATTAGGAAAAATATTTTAATTTACTGTAGAAAGAGAAAATAATCCTAAACAAGTTTAAAGACATTAAGATAGCAAGCCATTCCAACTAGATTTTATTGATACCTTGTGTCACATCAGAATCTCATGCTCTTGATCATCTGCTAGTGACAGATCTATTTGGGAATATTAACCTTGGCTTTAAAATTGTGGTAAGAGCAGAGCCTCACTTGAGAGCTACACTAAGAAGAACCAACCATGTGGAAGAAAGGTACACAGAAGCTCATGTGACTAATTAGAACTCTACCAGTTGTAGGAGGCTTATCCTTCCCTCAAACCCCAGTCCAGAATAGCTGCAAAATAGGTATCATGCATCATACTATATTTTCACCACAAATCTGTAAATGCTTTTTGTTACAGGATCCCACATGAAATAGAAACCTAAATATTTCTTGATATTAATGGAACTCTACCCTACTGCAAACATAATTTGTTAATTCTCATCTCTGTGCCTTATTCAAAGATGTTCTATCTAAAACGGACTTCTCATATCTGCCACTGCATATCATGTTTTTCATAATCTAGCTCAAGATTCTGATCTACTGAGGCTGCCTTGATGAATCTTCCCCCAAATGATCACTTCATTGCTTTGAATAAATAATGTACGAGGTATAGCTGTAAATACATTATCCACAACTTGATTTTCAGTGTCCTTCAGAGTTTAGAGTTTTCTTATATTTTTACCTGTTTTCCCAAATAGAATATTAATTTCTCAAGGGAAACATAATACTTTGTTTTGTTTTTTTTTTTTTTTTTTGGCTTCTTCTATAGAGCTTAGTTATAGTCACAGGCAGGCAGAATTCCTTAAATATTTGAATTCTGCTGTATCTTAGGCTCTCATGTCTTCAAATCTATAAGCCTTGGACTCCAATTTAACACCTTGGGAGGACAACCTGGCTCTCTGTTCCTCTGCACATTTACCCAGCTTAAATTATAAAACAGGGCAATAGAAGTCTATAATGTTCCTTTCAACTGCCACTTAGCCCCCAGTCAAGGATTAATTTGTAAATCAATCCTTTCATCAGTTCTCAATGAGCAACAATCTAACGTTATCCTTGCTCCTATTTCTCTAACGTTATCCTTGCTCCTATTTCTTAACTAGTCCCCTTAACTTCCTGTCACTTGCTCCAAACTAAAACACTACAAGATTCACCAATGTGTGTGATTCTCAGCTATTTACCTTCTCTGAGCAACTTTCCCTTGCTTTGGTAATGATAAGACACCAACAATAAATACCTGGGGAGGCAGTTCCGATTCAAAAATTCATCTTTCTCTGATGAAGTAAGGTACAGGTACCACTGCCAACTGACTGAAAATTTTGAAAAAAGACAAAGTCTGGGGCAATTTGACAGCCTGTAAATGAATCATCTTCTACATAGTTTTAAAAAACTAGAACTAAAACTATAGTTTTAAAAAACTGTAACTGTAACTAAAAGGTCTTTTACTGGGATTGGAATTTTATGCATCTATTTGGCTGGACATAATATGGACACTGGGCCTTCTCAACCAAGGTTTCATGGAAAGAATTAACCCCTAATTCCTTAGGCATCTGTTGTATGTAATAAATTACCTAGTATCATTCATGAAATATGTATAGAGAAAAGTCAGGTGCCCTCCAAAAGAGTCCCTCAAATCATTTTCTATGTTCTGTGATTTCAGACGAGAAACCCCAGCCGAGGAAGCAAATATACTCAAGGAAAGTAATAGTTTCCAAATGCCTGGCAGTGCCAGGAAGGGGCCATGTCCATGGACCACTATGTAAGGATATCTCAGTCTCTAGTCAAGCATGGTTTATGGTGCCAAATAAGTGCCAGGTGAATTCACTACATCTGACAAAATCTCAAAACCAAGTTTAACGGATAATATTTATGATTATGTGAAAAAGACTGAGGAAATCACTCCAGTGATCCATCATACAGCACCTCCAGTTCCAAAGAATACTGACTTACTTCAGGTGATAACACTCTGCCATTTTTAAGTTTTTCATCCACACTGTTTCTTCGTTTCTGGAGCTGATCCTTTTCTTTCTGGAGGACTTCAACTTGTTCTGAAATCTTTATTTTCTCCTCAGCTGTGCTGGTCTGGAGCTGCACATTCTTTTCAGACAACTCTTGTTCCAATAAGTTCAGGCGAGTTGATATTTTCAAACTATCTGTGTTTAAGGCCTAAAAGATACAACCCACCAGACACCAAAAACAGTTACTAGAAATCTAGACTGCATAAAAATTAGGAAAAACATAGAGAAAATTGCTAAATGAATATATTTTTAGGTTTTACATTATTGAGGGAGGGGGTATTCATTTTCTTTTTTTTTGTTTTTGAGATGGAGTTTTGCTCTTGTTCCCCAGGGTAGAGTGCAATGGTGCGACCTCAGCTGACTGCAATCTCCGCTTCCCAGGTTCAAGCGATTCTCCTGCTTCAGCCTCCCGAGTTGCTGGGATTACAGGCGCTTGCCACCTCGCACAGTTAATTTTTTGTATTTTCAGTAGAGACAGGGTTTTACCATGTTGGCCAGGCTGGTCTTGAACTCCTGACCTCAGGTAATCCACCCGCCTCAGCCCCCAAAGTTCTGAGACTACAGACGTGAGACACCGCGCCCACCCGGGGTGTTCATTTTCTAAAATCTTAAGTTGAATGCCTTTTTTAAAAAAACGTTTATTTAGCCAATTTTCCCTGTACCATTTATTAAATAGGGAATCCTTTCCCCATTTCTTGTTTCTCTCAGGTTTGTCAAGATCAGATGGCTGTAGATGTGTGGTATTATTTCTGAGGACTCTGTTCTGTTCCATTGGTCTATATCTCTGTTTTGGTACTAGTACCATGCTGTTTTGGTTACTGTAGCCTTGTAGTATAGTTTGAAGTCAGGTAGCGTGATGCCTCCAGCTTTGTTCTTTTGACTTAGGATTGTCTTGGAGATGCGGGCTCTTTTTTGGTTCCATATGAACTTTAAAGCAGTTTTTTCCAATTCTCTGAAGAAACTCATTGGTAGCTTGATGGGGATGGCATTGAATCTATAAATAACCTTGGGCAGTATGGCCATTTTCACGATATTGATGCTTCCTATCCATGAGCATGGTATGTTCTTCCATTTGTTTGTGTCCTCTTTTATTTCACTGAGCAGTGGTTTGTAGTTCTCCTTGAAGAGGTCCTTTACATCCCTTGTAAGTTGGATTCCTAGGTATTTTATTCTCTTTGACGCAACTGTGAATGGAAGTTCATTCATGATTTGGCTCTCTGTTTGTCTGTTACTGGTGTATAAGCATGCTTGTGATTTTTGCACATTAATTTTGTATCCTGAGACTTTGCTGAAGTTGCTTATCAGCTTAAGGAGATTTTGGGCTGAGACAATGGGGTTTTCTAAATATACAATCATGTCATCTGCAAAGAGGGACAATTTGACTTCTTCTTTTCCTAACTGAATACCCTTGATTTCTTTCTCTTGCCTGATTGCCCTAGCCAGAACTTCCAACACTATGTTGAATACGAGTGGTGAGAGAGGACATCCCTGTCTTGTGCCAGTTTTCAAAGGGAATTTTTCCAGTTTTTGCCCATTCAGTATGATATTGGCTGTGGGTTTGTCATAAATAGCTCTTATTATTTTGAGGTACGTTCCATCAATACCGAATTTATTGAGCATTTTTAGCATGAAGGGCTGTTGAATTTTGTCAAAAGCCTTTTCTGCATCTATTGATATAATCATATGGTTCTTGTCTTTGGTTCTGTTTATATGCTAGATTATGTTTATTGATTTGCGAATGTTGAACCAGCCTTGCATCCCAGGGATGAAGCCCACTTGATCATGGTGGGCTTGATCATAAGCTTTTTGTAGAAAGCTGAAAGTGGATCCTTTCCTTACTCCTTATACGAAAATTAATTCAAGATGGATTAGAGACTTAAATGTTAGACCTAATACCATAAAAATCCTAGAAGAAAACCTAGGTAGTACCATTCAGGACATAGGCATGGGCAAAGACTTCATGTCTAAAACACCAAAAGCAACGGCAACAAAAGCCAAAATTGACAAATGGGATCTCATTAAACTAAAGAGCTTCTGCATAGCAAAAGAAACTACCATCAGAGTGAACAGGCGACCTACAGAATGGGAGAAAATTTTTGCAATCTACTCATCTGACAAAGGGCTAATATCCAGAACCTACAAAGAACTCAAACAAATTTACAAGAAAAAAACAAACAACCCCATCAAAAAGTGGACAAAGGATATGAACAGACATTTCTCAAAAGAAGACATTCATACAGCCAACACACATGAAAAAATGCTCATCATCACTGGCCATCAGAGAAATGCAAATCAAAACCACAATGAGATACCATCTCACACCAGTTAGAATGGCGATCATTAAAAAGTCAGGAAACAACAGGTGCTGGAGAGGATGTGGAGAAATAGGAACACTTTTACACTGTTGGTGGGATTGTAAACTAGTTCAACCATTATGGAAAACAGTATGGCGATTCCTCAAGGATCTAGAACTAGATGTACCATATGACCCAGCCATCCCATTACTGGGTATATACCCAAAGGATTATAAATCATGCTGCTATAAAGACACATGCACACGTATGTTTATTGCGGCACTATTCACAATAGCAAAGACTTGGAATCAACCCAAATGTCCATCAGTGACAGATTGGATTAAGAAAATGTGGCACATATACACCATGGAATACTATGCAGCCATAAAAAAGGATGAGCTTGTGTCCTTTGTAGGGACATGGATGCAGCTGGAAACCATCATTCTTAGCAAACTATCACAAGAACAGAAAACCAAACACCGCATGTTCTCACTCATAGGTGGGAACTGAACAATGAGATCACTTGGACTCGGGAAGGGGAACATCACACACCGGGGCCTATCATGGGGAGGGGGGAGGGGGGAGGGATTGCATTGGGAGTTATACCTGATGTAAATGACGAGTTGATGGGTGCTGACGAGTTGATGGGTGCAGCACATACATGGCACAAGTATACATATGTAACAAACCTGCACGTTATGCACATGTACCCTAGAACTTAAAGTATAATAATAATAAATAAATAAATAATAATTAATTAATTAAAAAGGAAGGCAGAAGGAAGAGGCACTCAAAGGACGGAAAAGAGAAAGAAAATTTCTAGGCTATTTGGATAGTTTAGTTAAGATATAATGAAACCTTGCGCCAACCTGGAGAGAAGATCAGCCAATATAAAGTTAAGCCTCCCTTAGCTTTACCTTACATTCCTGTCATCCCAATGTCACCTGGGTCTGGTCCCTATTATTCATAACAATTTGCATTGCTGTGTTCCCTGGAATTTGCAAACTGTTCCTTTATTACGACAATGCTCTTTTCTCTTCCTCCATCTCCCTTTCTCAGTTATAGTACTTTGGGCTAGACAGGCTCATCCTAAACAAAGGATTACTCCACTGAGTAAAGGAATGCTGAGCCAAATTTGGGGCCCTGTCTCCAATCTCTCAGCAGCCTTCCTAATAAACCCTGCATCAAAATTCAAAAAAACAAAAACAAAAAAAAAAAAACCTTTATTTAAACTCTGAGTTTACTACCAAGAATTGCCTTGACTAGGTTTTCAGAGGCAGTATTTTTCTTTTTTCTTATTTTCTAAACTGAACTTTTCTTTCTTGGCTCACATTCTACATTGTAGAATTATGTACTAGGGGTTGAGCTTTGTTGTGTTTAAACATATGATTGGTTGGCTTAAACATATAATTTGTTTTTACTCTTAATTCATTATGATGAGAAAATATGGCCAGATTTATGGAGATGTTCATTATGGTCAAATTTCAGGTAATTTGTAAAATATTTTTCACAGTAATTATCTGCATATACTACCATAAGGTTTATTATATAGACACATACTATCATAAGGTTTATAATTTTAAAAAAGCATTCCCCTCCCCCAAGCTTTTAATTGAATCCTACTCCCAGACAGCCACCTTCAACCTTTTCAGTTGGTTCTTCTGGTGTTTATGTCTATGTTTCTGAATGACATTATCAATTTTAGACATTATCTATTGACTGTGTATTATGGGAGATGAGGATTTAGCACTCTTATAGCTACTCTACTTCCCAATCTCCTCCATTCTCCCAATATAAGTTACATTACAGTTTTTAGTTCAATCAATATTCATTTTCATTATTATAACTTTGTTATTCATAGGTGATCTAGTGTGAAATGATCATGCTTCTGTTTTGATACAACTTTTTATTGCACCTTATAGCTAATTCTTCTCCAAAAGAACTATAAAATTCCTCAACACTTTTTCATTTGATCAAACTTATCAGGAAATCTTTTCAATCCGTTCTTTTCTGGAAACATTTTGCCTGGAGCGTCCATCCTGCTCCACACTGGACCAGTTGTCCTGGGTCTTCCCTTTGGTATTTCCTGAGAATTTCCATGTTGCAGCACATTTTCAGAATCCCGAGTCTTCCTTTTTCAGAGTTTATGCCATTATTTTTGTGGAGCACATTCTCTAGTAGTTTCCTTGGACAGGCTTAATGGGAGATTTTTGTTTTTGTTTTTTTTACCTGAAAATGCTTATTATAGCTTCACATTTGATTGACAGTTTGGCTAAGAAGAAAATTATTTATTAGACTTAATTTTCCTCATGAGTTTAAAGATTGCTTCAGATCTTAAACTTGTCATGAGGAAAGCTGAGAAGTTCAATGCCATTCTGATTCTTGCAATTTATAAGTAGTCTTTTTTGTCTAGATGCTTTCAGGACCTTCTTTTTTCCTCAGTGTATCCAAACCTTCACAATGCTATGTTTTGGGTACTCATTTTGCTGGGCCCTTGATGGGCTATTTCAGTCTAGAGTCTCATATTACTGGTGTTGAGAAAAAAAAATTTTTTTTTTTTTTTTTTGAGACGGAGTCTCGCTCTGTCACCCAGGCTAGAGTGCAGTGGCGTGATCTCAGCTTACTGCAAGCTCCGCCTCCCAGATTCACGCCAATCTCCTGCCTCAGCCTCCCAAGTAGCTGGGACTACAGGCGCCTGCCACCACGCCTGGCTAATTTTTTTGTATTTTTAGTAGAGACAGGGTTTCACCGTGTTAGCCAGGATGGTCTCCATCTCCTGACCTCGTGATCTGCCCACCTCGGCCTCCCAAAGTGCTGGGATTACAGGCATGAGCCACCGTGCCTGGCCAAGAAAATTTTTTATATGATGTCTTTGATAATCTCTTCTGTTTTCTCTGTTGTATCTTTCTGGAATTCCCATTACTTGGATCTTGGGCTTCCTGGATTTATCTGCCAATTAAATTTTTTTCTCTCCTACTTTCTATTATATTTTTACTTACTTTTGGGGATATTTCCTCAACTTTATCCTCTGACCCTATTTTTTGAGATGGAGTTTTGCTCTTGTTGCCCAGACTGAAGTGCAATGGCACCGTCTTGGCTCATTACAACCTCTGCCTCTCAGGTTCAAGCGATTCTTCTGCCTCACCTCCCAAGTACCTGGGATTACAGGTGCCCACAACCACGCCTGGCTAATTTTTGTATTTTTAGAAGAGACAGGGTTTCACCATGTTGGTCAGGCTGGTGTCGAACTCCTGACCTCCAGTGATCCACCCACCTTGGCCTCCCAAAGTGCTGGGATTACAGCCATGAGCCACCGCACCCTGCCTATCCTCCAACGCTTTTAATTTCCAAGAGTTCATGTTTTTAATAACTTGTAGTTCTTTATAGTCATCTTTTACCACACTGAGGATATTAAGATTTCTGTGAAGTTTTTTCCGCTTCTTGCTCTATCTCTAATGTCTGTGAGTTTATTTTTTCCTTTTGTTTTGTTTTCTGTCTTTAATAGTGGCATTCCTGAAATGTCCATCATATTTCAGATTCAGGTATCAAAAAGCTGCTAAGATTTGTGGTGATAGCATACATGTGGGCCACTTAGTTGGCAGCTTCCAAATTTAAGTGTTTTTATATCTTTTTAGATGTTTCAGAAAATATGTTAATCTCCTGCTAGGAAGTATAAATCTGGGCCAGCATTCTTGGATCCAAGTAGAGATTAGGAAATAGATGTTTCACAATTCATATGCAGACTTGCATTCATTCCCTATTTGGAGTTTTTTGACTTATCACAACCTTTGCAGTGCCTGGTTCAATCTTCGGAAAATAAATTGGTCCCAGAGTGAGAAAAAATAGTTTCATGACTATGCCCTGTTTTCATCTTTATGCTACTCTTGCCTTCTGAAAATCTTGGTCCCTTCATTTCTGAATCTTTTTGATGTTCTATGTGAATTTTATCTCTCTAAAGCTGTTATTTTTTTTTAAAAGGAAAACATCTAAAGCATTCCTAAAATGCCCATCACATTTCAGAGTCAGATATTAAAAAGCTGATAAGATGTATAGTGACAGCATATATGTAGGATCTTGGCCTGGTTCTCATTTGTGTCCCTCTAGGTACTTGGACTGCAGCATCTTCTGTTCTGCTAAGTTAATAAGCTCTCATCTATTTGCTTTTCCATCTTTTCTTTTTTTGGTAATCTTTTGTCCTCTGTTATCTCCTCTACTGTCTTTTCCTTTTTATGGCTTTTCAAAAAACATAATAGCTTTAATGAGATATAATCTACATACCATACAATTCACCAATGTAAAGTATATAATTCAAATCTGGGCATGGTGGCTCACGCCTGTAATCCCAGCACTTTGGGAGGCCAAGACTGGCTGATCACAAGGTCAGGAGTTTGAGACCAACCTGACCAACATGGTGAAACCCCTCTCTACTAAAAATACAAAAATTAGCTGGGCGTGGTGGCACGCGTCTGTAATCCCAGCTACTTAGGAGGCTGAGGCAGAAGAATCTCTTGAACCGGGAGGCAGAGGTTGCGGTGAGCAGAGATCGCGCCACTACACTCTAACCTGGGCGACAGAGCGAGACTCCATCTCGAAAAATAAAAAATAACAATAAAGTATATAATTCAATGGTTTTTTGTATATTCACAGTTATATAACCATCACCACAATCAATTTTACATTTTCATCACCCCCCCAAAAAAAGAAACCCCACACCTATTAGTAGGCATTCTATTTCCTCCCCAGTCCCCCACCAACCCTAGGTAACCACTATTCTACTTTTTTGTCTCTGGACAGAAATGGAATTGCCTATTCTAGAGACTTGATATAAATGGTATTATACAAAGGTGGTCTTTTGTGACTAGTTTCTTTCACCTAACATAGGTTTTCAAGGTTCATCCATGTTGCAGCATATATCAGTACTTCATTCCCTTCTATTATCAAATAATATGCTATTGTATAGATAATCAGTTTATCCATTCATCACTTGATGAACATTTGTGTTGTTTTCAGTTTTTAGCTATTATGAATAATGTTACCATAAATGTTCATGTTCAAGTTTTTGTGTGGAAACATGCTTTCATTTCTCATGGAGACATACATATAGAAATAGATCTATCTATCCATCCATCCCTAGGAGTGAGATTACTGGGTCACATAGTATCTCTAAGTTTAGCCTTCTGAGGAACTACAAGATGATTATCCAAAGCAACTGCACCATTTTCCAATTTCACAGCAGTGTATGAAGGTCCCAATTTCTCCACCTCCTTCCCCACATTTCTTATTATCTGTTTTTCTGATTATAGTCATCCCAGTGGGGAGTGTAGAGTGGTTTACAACCAGAATCAAATAGTGTATTAAACAGAATACCTGACTAGATCTCAATTTCTTATTTTCCAGGTGACTCTTCTCCTGTAATAGAGCCTCCTTCTTAGAAACTATGGCCTCCCGTTTCTTTAAGTCTTCTTCCAGCTCCTCTAATTCTTGGCGTTGGTTCAGAACTTTCTCTACTTCTTCATCTAACCATTTCTTTTGCTCATCCAATTTCTACATTAAAATTCAAAAAAAAGTTACTTGTTTTTCCTTCTGCCATAAAAATTACATGGTAACAATATAATTTCAGATTGGCTGAAATCTCTTAAATGAACATTCAAAAACTATCACTCAGAGTAACTCAGGTTCCCATCTGAAATCCTAAAGACATCAGTGGTTCTAATCAAGATGTAGCTATGTTGTTTTATAAAGAATTAAAATTTACTCCCCAGATATGTTAAACAGTCTAGGATTTTTTAGCCTGACAAATAAGGGACTGATAATTTTCTATGCCTATATTAAGAACATGCTGGAGTCTTTTACTCTGTTGTAGTGGTGCATATTTCCCTCACAGCACTTACACTGGTGGTTGCTCTACTTATCTGTCTCCCCAACTTGAGCTCCTTGATTGACTGCAGGGGCTGTAGTTTTTAACTGTCTATCCACATGGCTGGCATATTGCCTGGGCCACAGTAGGCATTCAGTAAAATGTTAAATGAATGAGTGAATCAATGCCTGATTCAGTCAATCAATGAAGTGAATAAATGAATACACACAGTGGGAGATACAGATGATGGAGTTTGGAAGGAAACCCAATTTGCATTGTAGCTTGTCAACCTCAAATAATTATTTAAAAAAAAAGAAAAAACAAAAATAAAAAATTGCTGAAAAGATCTCCAAAACAAACATCTGAGTACTCTCTTGAATTAAGGATACCCAGAAACAAATACAAACATAAATATAGATGGAATATGACTGTTTAAAAGGAACTCTACCAAGTGGACACGGTAATGAAGCACTGCCACCAAAACAATAAATAAATAGGAAAAGAAATCAATATAGTATTATTTCCTAGTCCTTCATGAACCTTCTAGAAACAGTTTCTAGAAATCTATAATACAATGAGACAGTGAATATGTATTAAAAAAAGAGAGCAAAATGGCCAAGGCAAAGAAGATGCATAGCTATTGAGTCTTCCAATAATACCAAGATATTAACAGTATGATCTTATAAGCACTATCATGTCCAGATAACACTGGAGCCTAAAATGTCATAGTAGCTCTACAATTATTAGGAACAGAAAGAGCAACTATAAAAATGTTAGTTTTGTCATATCCTTAAATAATCCAGTAGGAGATCCTAGGAAGTCTAGCAAGTAACTTAAATATATTCTACAAACATTTTTAAACTGTGAGTGGGGTTTGAAAGATGAATAAGAGATTCTTTTTAAGCTCCACTTAAAAGTAAAAAACCTAAAAAATTACGACTGGTGATGACATTTCTGGGTGGAATGGGTACACACCCATGTCAGAATGCACACATGTCACTATTAAATGTCACTAATAAAATGTAATATAAAATTTATGAAGAGAGAATAAATTTAAAGTAAGGTAGAGATAATTGCATCCTGGGTATTTTAAATACAGTATTTTTTTCTTACAGAAAATTTAAAATTTCAATTTCTTTGAACTTCAAAATTCGTTTGTGGATTATGACTTTCTTTTTAAAAGATGGCACTAAAATAATGGCTTTTTAATATAAAGAGTACATATACAATCTGGCTTTCTTTGAATGTAGAGTTCTGATTTTTAGAAATATACTCGTCTTTGGCCGGGTGCAGTGGCTCACACCTGTAATCCCAGCACTTTGGGAGGCCAAGGCAGGCTGATCACAAGGTCAGGAGATGAAGACCATCCTGGCTAACACAGTGAAACCCCATCTATACTAAAAATACAAAAAATTAGCCGGACATGGTGGTGGGCGCCTGTAGTCCCCAGACTCAGGAGGCTGAGGCAGGAGAATGGCGTGAACACAGGAGGTGGAGCTTGCAGTGAGCTGAGATCACGCCACTGCACTCTAGCCTGAGCGACAGAGCGAGACTCAGTCTCAAAAAAAAAAAGAAAAAAAGAAAAAAAAAAAAGAAATATACTCATCTTCGTGAGATGGGAATAAATACAATCCAGTGAACACAGATTTCATGTTTATATTCTACAACATTCAAATAAATTCATTTCTACTGAAATAAGAATATATTGATTCTGCTGAGAGTAAGATAAAACAAAAATACAGTACATTTCTGGATGAGAAAATAATTTTGTAATAATAAAAGTTTCACTACTTGGGCAATAGGATTATTAGAAGCCCAAATCTTAGCATCACACAATATACCCATATAACAAACCTGAACATGTATCCCTGAATCTAAAATTTAAGAAAATAAAAATAATAAAGTTTCAAAACAAATACTAGAAATTTTGCATTCGGGTGGCATCTAGTGTTTGAAGGTTTTATTCAGAGTCCACCAGTTTTTACATCTATCTATCTATCTATTTGTTGAGAGGGAGTTTCGCTCTTGTTGCCCAGGCTGGAGTGCAGTGGCGTGGTCTCGGCTCACTGCAGCGTCCACCTCCAGGGTTCAAGCGATTCTCCTGCCTCAGCCTCCCAAGTAGCTGGGATTACAGGCACCCGCCACCAAGCCTGGCTAATTTTTGTATTTTTAGTAGTGACGGGGTTTTACCATGTTGAGCAGGCTGGTCTCGAACTCCTGACCTCAGGTGATCCACCCAACTTGGCGTCCCAAAGTGCTAGGATTACAGGCGTGAGTTTACCTCTATTTAGACAACCATCAGATTGAAGAGAAATGAGGAAACACTAAATAGAATTGACAAACCTGGAGTTGGTCTATACTTCCAAACGAACCTTTTCTCCTTTTCAAGTTACATGCATCGAGATCCTCAGCTTTTGGTTTTAGACCTTCTTCCTGTCCTGTTTTTAATTGTAGTTCCTGTAGAAAAAGAAATTGAAAACACCTTATTGCATTTACACCTGACCATTAAGTATGCTGATGATAATTATTTTCTTTTTTTGGAAACAAGGTCTCGCTCTGTCACCCAGGCTGAAGTGCAGTGGCACAATCACAGCCTCAAACTCCTGGGCTCAAGCCATCCAGTGACATTTTCTTAACATTTACTTCCTTAGTCACAGAAAGAGAAAATGAGCAGATGACAGCTGGGGCTCTATTTGAGAAGAAAATAATGTGGGGATTTTTTTGTTTAAAAAATTTTTTTAGAGATAGGCTCTCACTCTGTAACCTAGACTAGAGTGCAATGGTGTGATCATAGCTCACTGTAAGCTCAAGCTCCTGGGCTCAAGTAATCCTCTCACCTATCTCAGCCTCCCAAGTAGCTAGGACTATAGGTGTGCACCACCACATCCAGCTAATTTTTTTTTTTTAGGGATGGGGACTTGTTATGTTGCCCAGGCTGGTCTCCAGTGATCTTCCTGGCCTCCAGTGATCCTCCAGCCCCAATTTCCTGAAGGGATTAAAGGCATGAGTCACCATGCTCAGCCTTAATTTTTAATTGACAAATAATAATTGCACATATTCGTGAAGTACATAGTGATTATTTCAATACATATAATGTATAGTGATCAGACCAGGGTAATTAGCATATCTAAGAAGAAAGGAATGTTAGCTCTTACTGAGGCAATAAAATATAACTGCAAAAATTAAGATTTACTAACAAAACTGAGTGTTTTTTTCATTCTTCATGAGTGTTACACATTAGCATAATAAGGATAAGACTCTGAAATTTGTAAGTGGGTTTTTCTCTTCTGCCTTTCTGAGTTCATTACCTTCATAGTTACTCCACCCAAGACATCCATCTGCTGTGAGTATATTAAAATTTATTATAGTAAAAATGCAAAAAGAAAAGTAATGTTCAATTTCTGGTGTTCAAAAATGGGAGTTGCAATATAAGAATAGACTTGGAAGACAGATCATGGTCTTATGAAGCGTATTTTTCAAATTTCTTTAGTTTCCATCCACATCTTTTTTTTTTTAGACGAAGTCTCACTCTGTCACCCAGGCTGGATGCAATGGCACAATCTCGGCTCACTGCAACCTCCGTCTCCCAGGTTTCAAGCAATTCTCAAGCCTCAGTCTCCTGAGGAGCTGGTATTATAGGTGTGTGCCCCCACACCTGGCTAATTTTTGTGTTTTCTTTTTTTTTTTAGGAGAGATAGGGTTTTACCATGTTGGCCAAGCTGGTCTTGAACTCCTGACCTCAGGTGATCCGCCTGCCTCAACCTCTCAACGTGCTGGGATTACAGGCATGAGCCACCACGCCCAGCCTCCATCCACATCTTAAGGGTCAAGTCAAGAGGTGCGATGTTGGCCAGGCGTGGTGGCTCATGCCTGTAATCCAGCAGTTTGGGAGGCCGAGGCAGGCTGATCACCTGAGGTTAGAAGTTCAAGACCAGCCTGGCCAACATGGTGAAACCCCGTCTCTACTAAAAATACAAAAATTAGCTGGGCATGTGCCTGTATTCCCAGATACTCAGGAGACTGAGCACAAGAATCGCTTCAACTTGAGAGGCGGAGATTACAGTGAGCTGAGATCGCATCACTGCACTCCAGCCTCGGTGACAGAGTGAGACTCCGTCTTAAAACAAAACAAAACAAAAGGCACAATGTTCACGGTGCCCTCCAGGGGTTTAGAAATGACGTTGTTCATCACTAAAGCTTCGCAGGACAGGAAGGAGGACATGAGTCAAAGTGGGCCAGTCCACATACTCTGTATTACTGGTCTATGATGGATAAGCACGCAATTGAAAGTGCTGAGATACTTTTATAGCAATTTGACAAAATAATTTTATGTTTGATGACTCTTAACAATTTTTAAAATGGACTTTTATTTGTGTATTTTAAATTTCACTTTGCTACTAATTCATGTTTTATAAAAGTGTTAGGCTGTGACAAATTTATAACAAAATAAAAACTATACCTTCTCCACAAGTAATTTCAGAAGCACTGATAGAAAGGAAGTAAAAGAAAAGCCTAGGCCGGGCGCAGTGGCTTACGCCTGTAAGCCCAGCACTTTGGGAGGCCGAAGAGGGCAGATCACGAGGTCAGAAGATCGAGACCATCCTGGCTAACATGGTGATACCCTGTCTCTACTAAAAAATAAAAATAATTAGCTGGGTGTGGTGGCGGGCACCTGTAGTCCCAGCTACTCGGAGAGCTGAGGCAGAAGAATGGTGTGAACCCAGGAAACGGAGTTTGCGGTGAGCCAAGGTCACGCCACTGCACTCCAGCCTGGGCGAGAGAGCGAGACTGTGTCTCAAAAAAAAAAAAAAAAAAAGAAAAGCCTAGTGTTCTCCAGCCCTGGGAATGGCAGAAAGGAGAAAAGAGACAGTAAGAAAGACTTGTTTCCCAATTGTGCTCTGAGTTTTGGTCCAGAAAGGGGGATGATAAGTAAAGGTATCAGTGAGGACAGAGGGGCCCCTAAACTATTCAGGAGAGAAAATGCAGACTGCAGTGCAGAAGCCCCACACCCATATACAACACTGCCCAGCCTTGCTGAAAGAGCAGAGAGGTACAATTAGGAAAGAGACCCTAATTGGACTCCTTGGTCTCATGTGGCATGGATCCTGAGTTGAGAGCTAATGTAGGTACTCATTATGGGGAACTGGCTCCCAAACTAGGTATAAGGACAGGCTACTGGGCTAGCAAGCTAGACAGAATGCCTAGTAGCCTCAGCAGGGGCTAATAATGCTAGTGGGAGATGAGATGAAGGGAAAGCACCCCCATGCTCTAAACCAGAAGCAAGACCAAACTGTGAGTTATACCAGCCAGGGATTTCATCATCAGGGGCTAGCAGATTAGACAGGGTAAGGTGGACAAGGGAGAACAATTTCCAGCTGCTCACAATCCTCAACTCCAAGGCATAGGATAAAAGAAAGCTATACACCCAACCACAACATACACTGGATGCCATCTTAGGGAGAGAAGCCTAGGGAACAGGAGGCTAAGAGACTAAGCATTCTTATTCAAGAGACCTGAGAAGTATTTAAAGGAAGTGTTTACATTTTTAGAACAAGGTTTGAACAGAGAGAACATCTGATTAGTTTCCACCATATTTCCAGCAATAATCATGACATGGATAGAAGAAGAAAGGGGTACTCACAAAGAAGACAGGTGCTATAGACTAAATAAAGAAAAATGTTACACCCATCTGGGTTATGAGTGAATTTAGACCCTATTTTTTTTTTTACCACCCATAGTTCTTGATACTTCCCTAGCTCTAGTTCATAGCTATAATTTAGCCCTGTCATAGTCCTAGAAAATTTCAGGATGATGAAATAAAGCTACCTTAAATAAAGAGACCTTATACTTGGAGTTGACTCTCTACTATTTCTGTTTGTCCACATACACTTTAAAAGTATACTGAACCTGTAATCCCAGCACTTTGGGAGGTCGAGGTGGGTGGATCACGAGGTCAGGAGATTGAGACCATCCTGGCTAACACAGTGAAACACCGTGTCTACTAAAAAGACAAAAAAAATTAGCCAGGCGTGGTGGCGGGTGCCTGTAGTCCCAGCTACTCAGGAGGCTGAGGCAGGAGAATGGTGTGAACCTGGGAGGTGGAGCTTGCAGTGAGACGAGACCTCACCACTGCACTCCAACCTGGGTGACAGAGAGAGCCTCCATCTCAAAAAAAAAAAAAAAACTATACTGCAGTAGTTCTAATTCCCTCTTCCACATGTTGCTCCAGACAATGCCTTTTTTCTTACATTGTAATCTTTGTTATACATATTAAAATAACTGTGTACCAGGCACTGTGCTAGGCTTTTTATATCTATTTAATTATCCCATTTAGCCCTCACAACAATCCTATGATATAGGGGCTATTATAAAATCCATTTTATAGATGAGGAAATGGGTGGTTAAAAAGCTTAAAATCACACCACCACCCACAATTTCAGGAGTTCTCATATCTTTTCTTCAAAGCCTATCCATGGACCTCAGTTAAGAACTGCTGCTCTGAAGAGAACCTACGCAAAAGTTGTACTATTCTTTAGAAATGGTTTAGTCAAGTAAAAAAGAGACAGACAGGGGTGTCAGAAAGTTAGCTCCAAGCAGACGACAAATATTCTTTAGGACTGTAAGCAGGTTTTCTGTTTTTGCATTAAGTGGAGGATACATCAACAACATATCTTTGGGAAAGTCTGTTCCTTTTTCTGGAATACCTGCTATCCCCCATAAATGGGTCATTTCACTAGAATTAGAGATCTGGCAAGATGGAATAAAAGTGCCCTAGGTGGCAAGGTGTGGTGGCTTGTGCCTGTAATCCCAGCATTTTGGGAGGCTGAGGCAGAAGGACCTCTTGAGCCTAGGAGTTCGAGATCAGCCTGGGCAACATAGTAAGACCTCATCTCTACAAAAAGTTAAAAAAATTGTGAGGTACGCTGGCACGTGCCTGCAGTCCTAGCTATCTGGGAGGCTGAGGGGAGAATTGCTTGAGCCCAGGAGGCCAAGGCTGCAGTGAGCTGTGATCACATCACTGCACTCAAGCCCGGATGACAGAGCAAGACCTTGTCTCAAAAAAAAAAAAAAAAAAAAGTGCCCTAGATAAGAAGGTAAACAGTTTGAGTTACAAGCAGAGTTGCACTTCAGCAGACTTCTACTCTTTGAAGAAGAGAGTGTCTTCTTTTCCCTAAGCATGGATTTACAGAGTGCTATGTCTTGCTGGTTTAAGCCATGGCCTATGAGAGATGAGGAGTTAAAACTCAAAGACCACAACACCAAACAGGTGCGCCTGATCTTCACATTGGAAGAAGAGCTAAAACAAAACAGACTAAGTTGTTGGCAGCAGAAATGAAAATTGGACAGATTCATGGTGTTTTAAAGATATACTCTGAAGGGCTTTAGTGGTTCATTGGATATGCATAAGAAAGAGGCAAGAGCCAATGATGATGCCTCAATTTCTAGCTCACCCAACTGATATATCATGTAAGGCACATTGGAGAACTACATTTTTTCACCCATGAAGGGAGCAGGGAGTGGGGAATCATGGAAAGGTAAGTAAGGAAGATCATGAATTCATCTATAAGACAACCTAGGGAAGAGGCTGGAGCTCAAAGAACAGACTTGGGATTAAGCACTAAATTTGGAAATTTTCAGTTTAATTGCAGCTATGGAAAAGTATCCTATACTCACCTAGGATAGAGTATAGAAGAGGGCAGAGACCAGAACCATGAGGAACTCCCATATTTAAAAGGACTAGTAGAGTGGGATGAGCTAGCCAAGACGGAGAACAAACAATCAGAAAGAGAGGAAAAAACAAGGAAAGTATAATGTCACAAAGGCAAGGGGAAAATACTACAAGATGGAGGGAGTGCTGAACTGTGCTGGATGCACAGTATTAAGATAAGGACTTTAGTGACAGAGAGAGCACTAGTTAACTTCTCAAGAGCTGTGAAGTGGGTGATAGAGCCAGAAGCCAGCTGGAGAGGATAAGAGAATGAATGAAAGCAGAAGTAACAGAAAGAAATGCAGTCAACTTTCCAAGAAGTTTGGTAACCATACATCTATGGCCAGTTGATTTTTTTTTTTTTTAAATAAAAATTGGGGCCAAGCATGGTGGCTCAGGCCTGTAATCCCAACACTTTGAGAGGCCAAGACCGGAGGATCACTTGAAGCCAGGAGTTCAAGACCAGCCTGGGAAATACAGCAAGACACTCTCTACAAAAAGTAGAAAAAAAAAAAATTAGCCAGGTGTGGTGGTGCACGTCTGTAGTCCCAACTGCTTAGGAGGCTAAGGCAGGGGGATCACTTGAGCCCAGGAATTGGAGGCTGCAGTAGGCTATGATCATGCCACTGCACTTCAGCCTGGGTGACAGAGACCCTGTCTCAAAAAAACAAAACTGTACATATGTAAGGTATACAACATGATATTTTGATATACATAGTGAAATGATTAGTCAAGCTAACATATTTATCACTTCACATAGTTAGCATTTGTGTGTGTGTGTGTGTGTGTGTGTGTGTGTGTGTGGTAAGAGTACCTGAAATCTACTCTCTTAGCAAATTTCCAGTATACAATAGTCATCATGCTGCACATTAACTCTCTAGACTTATTTATTCTACACAACTGCAACTTTGCACAACTTGACCAACATCTCCCCATTTCCCCTATCAGCATTTCTCTATTTCCCCCTCCAAATGATTTTTGATAAGGGTGCCAAATCCATTCAGTGGAGGAAAGAACAGTCTCTTCAACAGATGGTACTGGTACAACTGGAGTTCCACATGCAAAAGAATAAATCTGGACCACTACTTCACACCATATACAAAAACTGACCCCAAATGGACCAATGACCTAAATATAAAAGCAAAAACCATAAAACTCTTAGCAGAAAACATAGGGGTAAATCTTCTTGACCTTGGATTTAGGCAATGGATTTTTAGACATGACCAAAAAGCACAGGCAACGAAAGAAAAAAAATAGATAAATCGGACTTCAACGAAACTAAAAATTTTTGCATATCAAAGGATATTATCAAAGTATAAAGAAAACCTACAGAATAGGAAAAAATATTTGGAAATCATGTATCTGATAGGATTTAATGTCAAGAATATATAAAGAACTCATACAACTCAACAACAAAGACAAAGAACCAAATTAAAATGTGGACAAAGAACTTGAATAGACATTTCTCCAAAGAAGATATATGAACAGCCAATAAGCGCACGAAAAGATGCTCAACATCATTAGTCATTAGGGAAATGCAAACCAAAACCACAATGAGATACAACTTCATACCTACTTGGATGAGTATAATAAAAAGAAAGAAAGAAAACAGGTGTTGACAAAAGTGTAGAGAAATTAGAACATTTACACATTGCTGGTGGAAATGTAAAATGGTGCTGCTGCTTTGGAGAACAGTGGTTTCTCAAAAAGCTAAGCACAGATTTACCATATAACCCAGAAATTCTACTCCTAGGTACATACTCCTAGGTACATACCCAAAGGAATTGAAAACAGAGACTTACTTGTATGCCAGTGTTCGTTGCAACATTATTCACAATAACCAAATGGTAGAAACAACTCAAGTGTCCACTGATGGAAGAATTGATAAAGAAACTGTGGCATATCCATACAATGGAATATTATTTGGCAACAAAAGGGAATGAAGTTCTTGTACATGCTGTAATGTAGACAAACCTTGAAAATATTATCTAAGTGAAATGAGCCTGACACAGAAGGTAAAATATTACATAATTCTACTTATATGAAGTATCTAGAATAAGCAAATTCATAGAGAAAGTAGATTAGAGATTACCAGGGGCTGGGGGAAGGGGAAAACGAGGAGCTGCTATTCCGTAATAGTTACAGAGTATCTGTCTAGGGTGAAGAAAATGTTTTGGAAATAAATAGTGGGGATGGTTGCACAAGATTGTGAATGTAATTAATGCCACTGAATTATACACTTAAAAATAGTTAAAATGGGCCTGGTATGGTGGCTCACGCCTGTAATCCCAGCACTTTGGGAGGCTGAGGCGGGCGAATCACCTGAGGTCGGGAGTTCAAGACCAGCCTGAACTGGTAGAGAAACCCCGTCTCTACTAAAAATACAAAATTAGCCAGGCATGGTGGCACACGCCTGTAATCCCAACTACTCAGGAGACTGAGGCAGGAGAATCACTTGAACCTGGGAGGCAGAGGTTGCGTTGAGCCAAGATCACACAATTGCACTTCAGCCTGGGCAACAAGAGTGAAACTCCATCTCAAAAAAAAGAAAAAAAAAAAAGTTAAAACGGTAAAATTTATGTTATATATATTTTACCACAACTTAAAAATTAATAATAAATAATCAGTAACTTGGTTTAAATGTTCTTTAAGGTCCCTTCCATTGCTGAATTCTATGATTTTTTTTTTAAGGTCGGAAAATAGGTTATATCCATTGTTGAAAATCTAGGAAATCTGGGGCATACTGATAATGGGAGAGGCTAAACATGTGCAGGGACAGGGAGTATATGGCATATCTCTGTACCTTCCTTTCAATTTTGCTGTGAACCTAAAACTGCTCTAAAAAAAATAAAACCTTAATTTTTAAAATATCTAGGAAATCTCCAATTATGTCCCACGCCTTGGGTTCAGCTTAACATTTCAACGGAACAGAGCCTGGCACATAGTGCTAGATAAGTGTCTGTACTATGATCATCATCATCTTTTTCAAAAAAGCCCTGTGGGACAAGTAGGATTAAGGCCATTTTAGATAAGAATAAACAGAGAGGGTAAAATTTTTGAGAAATTTGAGAAAATTTACTTTTTCAATAAATCTCTCAGCCAGCAACTGAGCAAGCTACTGAGCAAGCTAGGATTTGAACCCATGATAGCCTGGTCCAAGAACCTAGGCTGACACCACTAAGTTCCTCCCCAGCCCAATCTATTCTAGAACTGCTGTGCATACAGATCTGATCATTTTTCTGCGCACTGTGAATGAAATGGTACCACTTTACCTGGTGCTTTTTCTATGTAGCCACATAGACAATGCATATCAAAGCACTTTGAAAACAGAAAATCCTATTCAAACGGTATGTATTATTTAGAAAGTTGGCTTTATAAATGTATGTTTTTGACAGCTTCAATTAAAGTTAAGATCCTACTAAGAGAAATTACCATTGTACCTTCTTTTGTGAAGTCAAAGCCTTCAAGACAGTACTCAGAATTCAATAAATAGGTTTTACTATGTAGCTGAACAAAGCTTTAAAGTGAATAAGGACAGCAGTAAAGGACAGGTCAAGGGTAGATACTTCACAAGCCAACTGAATGAAGACCATGGCTTCGTTAGCTCTGAGTCGTTTAACGTTTCATATTATACTTAGCAGGAATGTATGACAATATTACTTTGATTTTTTGCTGGTCCCGCTTAATTACTGCATCCAGTTGCTTCCTTTTTTCATTTTCTTCTCGAAGTTTTCTTTGTAGCTGTATCTTTTGATACTTCATGTGATCTACACTCTGCTCTAGTTCATTAGCGCGTTTTTCATTTTGGATTGACAGTGATGCCAGTTTCTTACTATCTTGTTGCTTCTTCTGTAAGACCTGAGATCATATGGAATATTTCAAAATGAAAAACTGAATCTCTCACATTCCTCAACTAAATTTAATCTTTTCATTTGATGGTAAAGGAAGAAATTTTCCCTAGATTTTCATTTATTTTTGACAGGTTCACAAACAATCATTTCCTCTCATACATTTCCATTTTTGCAATTAGGGAAACCATCATAATTTTTATCACATATGTAAAAGTATAAAGAATGATGAGACTTCCTGATGTGGACAACAAACAAAATGAAACAGATGATTTGCTTTTTATTAATAAGTATTTTAATTTAAAAAATAGTTAAAACATTATAAAACTGAATTTATATTTTAAAAGAGTCACTCTTATACACCCCTAATCTACCTGTCCTGATTCCCAATGCAAAATTACCAATTTCTTAAATATTCTTCCAGGAAAAAAGTATGCATATGCATGCAAATAGCTTCATATATATTCTATATAGACTACTGTCTCCCTTTTTTCCTACTTATCTCAGGGGTCTTTTCATATAGATTTGTTCTGGGTGGCTGCAGCATTCCACTGTGCTGTTGTTTTTATAGCTACAGCTATAGCCTAAATCGTTAATCCCTGAGTTAGGATGATCAGAGCTGATAACATCTTCCCTGAGAGTGACCAACCATTATAATTACTATTTTAACATTTATCTTAAATTCCTTCTCATCTAACTAAAATTACGTATAGATAGATTAGACTTTCAAAGTGTTCACACCACTAATATAAACTACTTGTGTTACAATTTAGTCCTGACCAAACACATATTAGACTTGTATTATGTGATTAGCATTGCACTAAGTACCAATTAGGTGGTATAAAAAAGGTAAAGGGATGTCATTCATAAATTATGCAAACCACAATTAATTATTTCCTTTATCTTGGCAATAAAGTGTTAGCATAGGCAAGTTTTGTTTTAATTAAACTAAGTATCCAAGAGGCATTGCTGCTTAGAGCAGTGCTACTCAAAATGTGATCTGTTGACCAGTGCTAGTTCACATTGTTGTCAATTTGCACCCCTCAGCATACTAATAGATTTGATTGATGTTTTCATGCAAGACTTTTTTGATCAAGAAAGCTGTGCAATGATTGACATTTATCTCATCGCAGAAGAACAATCTGCAGATGAACTACTTTGGGTACCACTGGCTTGGAGGCCACAGGCCTTTGCCGTTTCCAGTACCTAAATCTGGACACTGGCTTTGCCACTTACAATTGACAGTAATTACAATACTGCAGCAAAAATTATAATGCCAGCATTTTAGTGTCTTTTTCACATAATAATAAAAATATCAGTGTAAATCCTGAAAGTCTTAAGAGTGAGGTACTGTTGCCATTGTCTTTTGCACTTATTCTATAGTTGCTCAAAAGTGCATCTGTCAGCATTAAACTATTAATGCAGCATGTAATGCTCTACATATACCTAAAGCCATTAAAAACACAGGTTTTTGAAGTCCTTAATTTAAAAATGTTGTTTTAAAAATTGAAACAACTTTTTTATACCAATAAAAATATTAGTATTTCAATATTTTAAAACAGCATGATATGGCTGGGTGCAGTGACTCACACCTGTAATCCCAGCACTTTTGGAGGCCGAGACAGGCAGATCACTTGAGGTCAGGAGTTTGAGACTAGCCTGGCCAACGTGGTGAAACCCGTCTCTACTAAAAATAAAAAAATTTGCGGGCGTGGTGGTGGACGCCTGTAGTCCCAGCTATTTGAAAGCCTGAGGCAAGAGGAGCATTTGAGTCTGGGAGGAGGCAGTTGCAGTGGGCTGAGATATATGCCAGTATGATATGTTAAGAGTACTGAAAACTGGTATTGTCATCACCACTATGGGACTCTGACTGAGTTATTTTGCCTTTCTAAACCTTTGTTTCCACATTTGTAAAATGACTAAAAATGCCCACTTCAAAGGATTAAATAATGCATATAAACCATTTGGTATGTATAGGCCCTCAACAAATGGTAATTACTGTCCTCCTCATCCTCCTTATCCCCATGAGTAGTGCATGGATATGTCAAAGGTACAAAATTTCTAAAACTATGTCTTGTTTCTGTCCTCTGCTGTATCAGATGTTTCTTTTGAGGTAAAGTTCTACACCTTTCATTTCCTTTCCTTATCAGTACTCTTAGCAGAAAAGGATATACAGCCGGAAGCAAAGCATGGAAAGGTGAATTCCAAAGTGGAAATAACTATTCTGAAGGGAAATGGAAGGTGTGACATAGATAACCACCCTATGTCCTCCTTTAAGCAGTTCAAACATTCAAGTCATATTATTTTAACTTGATGTTGACTTGAGAAGCTATTTAGGTAACAACTTTTAGTGGAAATATCCAGATGTTTGAGGTGGCATTAGAAACCCCAGGAGGGACTTTTCTGGCCTGTCACACCAGAATATCCCGGTATATTACAATATACCAGGCACACCAGAGGTATATTGTAAACACCTGTTTTGTTGAAAGCAAATAACTGGCATAGTTCAGCAATAATAATAATGCTGTGAATAGATTAATTACAACTCTACCTATAATGGAAAAATATAAATATAACACGAAAGCAGTAGATCATGAGAGGTAAAGAAATAGAGGAGGCATCTTAGAAAGTTCATTATGATCAGACTAACAAAGCACTGTGACTATCTCCAAAGCACCTGGAAATGACTTCTTCACACAAAATCTCTATGTGATGGAATATTTCTCACAGAATAGAATGTTTAACTGTAGCTATTTCTAAAGTTAAAGCTAAAACCAGGCATTAGGAAGTTAAGGATAAGTCACAGTACACAAAGTTATTAACCCTTCTTAAGCCAATCAGTTATGGTTTCAGAAAACCATATCTCGAAATAGTTCTCATTTGTTGAGTGTCTACAAAGTGTCATATATGTACCAGCTGTTTTATTTGTATTATTTAACCATTATTTAATCCTTTGTCCTTCAGGAAAAAAACACTATTTTGTGGTTGTCTTTATTTCTTACCATGTGGTTTTTTGATATGAAGATTGAAAGAATATACTTCTTCGATGAAGAAATATACTACCCAGATTGTAAAATATGTAAATCGACCAGCACACTAAAAAAGTTGACACCCAGTTTCTCTTGCTGGTATAAACGGAATCCCACTTCTTTCCTAACTCAGTACAAGAACCCTCAGAAGCAAGAAAGCTTAAGTAAGTTTTCTCAATTACATTTTTTAAATTACCTGAACTCTCAGCTTTGCAGCATCCATCTTTTTACGGAACTCTTTCTGTAATTTTACCTTCATTGCAACATCAGAAAGATCTTTGTTTTCCAGCTCCTGTAGCTGCTTTTGTGTTTCAGTTAGTTCGACTTTTGCCTGTTCTGCGTCATGCTCTAGCTTTGTTACTTTCAAAGAATACTGCTTGCTTACAGACTTGGCATCGTTACCTTAACCATAATAATAATAATTATTAGTATAAATTATGTAAAAAGAAGTTAAACATCAAAAACATAAAAATACTCTACTCTAAAATCCAGCCAGGCAGTGATACTATTTAAGGCATAGCATTAAAAACCCAGTTGTCCCCACCCACCCCCATCAAACACAGCTTGCCATCAGGCCTCTTAATGATTAATTCCTTAATGATTGTTTCCATCTGCGGCCAGTCTCACTGGTTCAATCTTTGGCGTTTAGAGTGACATTTCTGGTCCTCTGAATTTGTAGTTGAGCTTTGCTGGCATCAAACTCAGTTAAGAAGGATATTTGGAGTGACTGTCCTCTTGCTTAGTATACTCCAGCCTCCTGCTACCAATAATCTGTCTCCTTGAATTCCTTTTTTAAATTACTATGAAAAATTTTAAATATAACAAAAGAAATAATAGAATCCCCATCATCCAGATTTAAAAGTTATCAAGATTTTGTCACAGCTGCTTCAAATATGCCTTTTGTTTTACTTTGCTTACATATTATAAAGCAATCCCAGATGTCATTTCATCTAACCTATACATACTTCATTTTGTTAAATTCCTTTTACTTATACATACTGCAATCAGCATTCATACAAAATATGGACATAACCAAAAAGTCATTATCATACTAACAATATTAATACCAATCAGCCCATATTCAGACTTTCCCAATTGTCTCAAAATGTGTTTCACAATTGGTTTAATCAGGATCTAAACAAAGTCCACAATACATTTGATTGTTATATCTCTTAAGAATCTTTTCATCCACAGCTGACTCTCCTTTTTCACTAACCTCAACTTATTCAATATTAATTCCTTTTAAATTCTTTTCTTATTAATATATAGAACAGAAAAAATAGAATATAGATATTTCTATATCTCTTTTTATTCTAAGTCCAGCTAGTGACCCTAAAAGCTTGGTTTTGATTTGCTCTGAATAGGCAACTGTCCCTGAACTAGACTGGCAAACTCGTGGCAGTAAAAAATAGGAGTCTAAAGCTCAGGGGATGAATAATCACCAGAGACAGTGAATTACACTATATATTTATTTAGAAAGAGTCTCGCTCTGTCACCCAGGCTAGAGTGCAGTGGTGCAATCTCCTCTCACTGCCACCTCCGCCTCCTGGCTTCCAGTAATTCTCCTGCCTCAGTCTCCCAAGTAGCTGGGATTATAGGCACATGCCACCATGCCCAGCTAATTTTTGTATTTTTAGTAGAGACAGGGTTTCACCATGTTGGCCAGGCTGGTCTCGAACTCCTGATCTCATATGATCCGCCTACCTCGGCCTCCCAAAGTGCTGGGATTACAGGCGTGAACCACTGCACCCAGCCTATTATACTATTTATATAGCTGGTTATACTGCTATCCAAAAATACTCATCATTTTTTGATAAACGTTATTTAACTAAATGCATTGTGAACTGTCCTCTGACTCTAATTTACGATTACTTGACTAACTTTAAAATACAACTACTATATTTTAACAAATCATTTTGGACTATTCATTAATTGTTCAACACACCAATATTTTATGAACCACTAAAAAAATACAGTGCCAATTACAACATGTTTATTTTATTTTTTTGAGACAGGGTCTCGCTCTGTCACCTAGGCTGGAGTGCAGTGGTGCAATCATGACTCACTGCAGCCTTGACCTCTGGGACTCAACCAGTACTCCTACCTCAGCCTCCCAAGTAGCTGGGACTACAGGCATGTGCCACCAAGCCCAGTATGCACCTGTAGTTTTTATAAAATTTTTTTGCAGTGTATTAGACTTGATAAAATATAGTATAGATGTCCTGTTATTACTTACTGCCAACTACTTAGTTGGCAGAAGTAGCTGCTATTCAAGAGAAATCTTCAGTGAGAGAACATTAAGGGCATTAAGTTTTTTGTGTTTTGGGGTTTTTTTTGACATTTTTTAAGAAGCATCCTCTGCTTAGCTACTTTCCCAAAGCTTTCTCCTTTCTCGTTCCTAGTGACATGTGTACTATGCATCATTCTAGCTCCAGTTACCCAGATGTTTAAATTAGTTTGACCATGCTGCTTCCTCACAGGCAGGATCAAACCCCAGTTGACCCCTCTTAGGAGTATCTAGGAGCTGATCTAGAATCAGGGTACTGCCTGTGGAAGTTGAGGATATTTACCCACTAGAATCAACGACTTTCTTTCAGAAAGGTTATCTTACTATGAATCTCACTAAACAAGCATGTTTTTGTAGCCTGGTATACCCAATGTGGTTGCATTAAAATAGAGGATACCAGAGCTTACACAGAGAAGACCCTTTTCTTGCTCATTAGAACCAAGGGCAATTTGGAGCTTTCCTAAAAATCCTCAGAGATGGTGACTATCAAAAGTGTCAGTGAGTGCTTACTTTTCAATGCCCTCTCACTGAAGACTTCTCTTGAATAGCAGCTGCTTCTGCCAACTAATAACAACAGGACATCTATACTATATTTTATCAATTCTAATACACTGCAAAAAAAAATTATAAAAACTACTGGTGCGTACTGGGCATGGTGGCACATGCCTGTAGTCCCAGCTACTTGGGAGGCTGAGGTAGGAGGACTGGTTGAGCCCCAGAGGTCAAGGCTGCAGTGAGTCATGACTGCACCACTGCACTCCAGCCTAGGTGACAGAGCAAGACCCTGTCTCAAAAAAATAAACATGTTGTCATTGGCACATTAAGTGCCACAGAATTTCAGCACAATGCAGAGTTCACTGGTTAGAACAATTCAGAGGTGAAATTCCAAAAGAACAAAATTCTTTTGATAACTAACCTCCACACATTGGCCTAAAAACTCACCTTCTTACACCAATCCAAGCTAAGTGGATAGATCAGAGCTTCAAATACTAAAGTAACTGTTACACATCAGAAGCAATTTTAGAAGTTTTCTTTCCCATATAAGCTGGTTCACAAGATACTATTACCTGTTTTTATTAATTCTTTAATCAGATCTTCCTTCATCTTGATGTTAATTGTAAGTTCTCTCATTTTTTGTTTAGCTTCAGTAAGTATGCGTTCTGAATTCTTTAATTTTTGCAAATTCAATTCTTGACTCTCCTGGAGATAATCAATCTTTAAATCTTAAAAAAAAACACACACACAGAAATAAAACTATCTGCTGGTAAAATATTCAACAGAAGTAGAGTTAAAAAAAAGAAAAGCAGACACAAAAGCAATTTAGAGGTGGCAGTGGAAGAGACAAAAAAGAAGGGAAGGAAAAAGGGGAAAAAATACACAGCAATTGGGACTCTAGCATTACAGCTTATAGTAAGAGTTTTTATTTTCTTACAAATTAATACATGTATGTATATATTCTTTCATAATATTCCATAGGTTCAGACACACAGTTTCTCATTGCCTTTAAGATGAGTTATTTGAGACAGGTGTAAAATTTCCAGATGGATAGAGGGGTGAATTTGTTTCCTATCAACTTCTACTTTTATTGTAATTGGAGAATGCAGACTATACCAGGCTACTCAGAGTGTGGTCTAGCACTGTTTGTTACTGCCTGCACCAGAATGTAAATAAACTATGTCACTAGGTATACTGCTGTAGTTCAGGTGACATTTTTTTCATAGCCAGACTTTCTCAAGGAAGAAACTAGTGTAAGCTCATTTACATTCCAACGTAAGTTTTTTTCCTGGTTGCAGAGCAGTAACAAACAGCTCAAGCATGGCTGCTTGAGTAGCATTTACCTTTATTATTTCCACATTTTTATATTTATTTTAGTTATACTTAAATTTTTGGCTCATAAAGCCACGTATAGGTTCTTAAAGAGATGCTCTACATTTTCAAAGTGTAGCACTTACGTTATTTATATTCCCGATTCCCTTACTTTTTGTGGGTCAATCACACATTGACCAAGAGAGATGAGTTAATAAAATCTGCTACTACCAGCTGGGCACAGTGGCTCATGCCTGTAATCCCAGCACTTTGGGAGGTCAAGGTGTGCAGATCATAAGGTCAGAAGTTTGAGACCAGCCTGGCCAACACAGTGAAACCCCATCTCTACTAAAAACACAAAAATTAACTGGGTGTGGCAGCACACACCTGTAGTCCCAGCTATTTGGGAGGCTGAGGCAGGAGAATTGCTTGAACCTGGGAGGCGGAGGCTGCAGTGAGCTGACACCACACCACTGCACTCCAGCCTGGGTGACAGAGAGAGACTCCATCTAAAAAAAAAAAAAGTTGTGAAAACTATAGGTGATATTTTTTTTTTTTTTTTGAGGTAGGGTCTTGCTCTGTTGCCTAGACTAGAGTGCAGTGGTGTGATCTCAGCTCACAATAGCCTTGAACTCCTGGGCTCAAGCGATTCTCCCACCTCAGCCTCCCTCCTGAGTAGGTACGCACCACCACGCTCAGCTAATTTTCTGTAGAGAGACGATCTCACTATGTTGCTCAGGCTGGCCTCAAACTCCTGGCCTTAAGCAATTCTCCCGTTTCAGCCTCTCAGAGCACTGGGATTATAGGCATAAGCTACTATATGTGGCTCGTAAATGTTTTTGATGTTGTTATTGATGCATAAAAATTCTTAGCAGTTGTGTACTAAAACATTACCAGCACCCAGTACACTAATTGGGCTCTAATGCCAAATACATAATTGATGTTAGGCACAAGTCCCAGTGAAGGAGTAGACACCTAGTACAATTACTTATACTGTACTTTAACATCATTAGGAATACAAAGCGTATCAATTGAAGTCTGAATATAAAAATCCTTATTCTGAGGGAGTAAGCCTGTATCTCTAGCCATAATTAATTGATAGAAAATCTTTTTTATTAAGGAGTAAAAGAGGTAAAACAGAGAACATAAAAGAAGTTCTACCAACCAGAAAAGCATTTGTACCAAGTTCTGGTCTTTGAGAATTCCTGGATGTTTCTTAGAAACTATCAACTGAGGAAAAAGGTAAGTGTCCTATAACCATTAGGTCTACATTATGTAAGGAAATCTATGTACCTTCATTCTCCAAATTTGACTTTTGTGTTTCATCCTGAGTATCATTCAGTTCAACAAGGGAACAAACAGAGTCTGGCTTCTGAATCCATGAACGACTTCTACATCTAAAAAAAAAAAATCAGAAAGTTAACTCATTTGTTAGCGTTTTCTAATCTGCCCTCAAATTAGTTTCCCCAGAAAGTGACAGTAATGTTAAAACATTATTAATTACATTTAAAAACAGAATGTCACTAATATTGCTTAAAATAAAAGGATGCCCCCCCACCCATGTTGAATCAGTAGAAAAGTCATGTTTGTTGCCACCGTGGCAGCAGAATAAGGAAATCCAAAAAAAAAAAAAAATTCCCTCTGAAAATTAGAATCTAATTATTATAAAAGCTCTAAAAGCAAAATTATTTTTCAGTTATAAGACTGATGATTTGTGTTCAAATACTATTTTCATAACACATTAGATGATAGTACATTTAGCAAAAGTTACCTACTCTTATATTAAACAAAAGATATACTCCAATGGAAAAAACCTACACTTCTATATTTATTGCAGCATATAATTCTAAATATTTATTAAATCAGTGTATATTTAACATACCTAGTTCCAGATTTCTCTTGGCCTTCCGATTCTTCATCATCACTGTTATCAGAAAATTGGCAGTGGAGGACCTCATCTTGTTCTTCTATGTGACCCAACAGCATCCGACTTCGTGTTCGAAACCCAGCAAATATTCGATCCAGAGAGTACACAGGCGGGCTTGTGTGGACCTTCCCAGTGATTCCCCCACCCAACAACAAAAAAGTGATATTTTAAAAGTCGAATTTTATCCTATTATTCTCAATGCTGTTAAAGGAGTTATTAGATTGGCACTCTTAAAATAGCCAATCACTGGAAAATGCTCCCCTCAAACAAAAGTCAAAATTAATTTAACGATACTTTGTGCCTCACAGACAAATACTTCTTTCAGAGTATACACAGCTCCTCCTCTTCTGGACAACTCTTCTATCTTCACTTATGGAAAATAGTATTCAAAAATGAAACGAAAAGCACGCATGGAAAACATTCCAGCTCTTAAACACAGCACAGACACACCCCAACAAATGTGCCCGCTTCCCCATCTTCCCAGTTCAGAACACCTGGAGAACTGTGGTGCTCCAATCCAAATCCCGCCACAGGAAGAAACCCAGAGCCATCTCCATTCCCTCTGCCAGGGCAATATTCCTAATTTGAATACAATGTATATATTTATTCTTTATATATGGTGGTTAGGTATAGCTGAATTAAGGCTCTAGGAAAAATATTTAATATATGTCATAGGACAAATAAAATTGTATGGCTAGCCTGGGAATTTTCTATAGTATAACATTCTTCTATTGGAAATGCACTTTAAATTCTCAAAAAAAAAAAAAAAAAATGACCTTGGAAAACAACAACAACAAATTAGAAATTGCCTTTATACCTTTGTTCTGGTTTCTATTACAAAATATTTCCTTTTCATCACCTCTGTAACCAAACCTCGAGATGACTTCTCACAAAAGGCAATAAAATCTTAGAGGTGACAGTCCATTTATCAATATAAATTATTATAAGCTGTTAAATTGTAACATATAGTGGAATATGAGTATCACATGATGTTTAGGATTCACTCACTTGACAACAGGCCCCCGTCATGTATTCTCTCCTAAAAAATCCTACCTGATTCTGAAAATCATCTTATATCTGATTTTTGTGCTTCTGCTGTCAGTCACCTAATTAGATCATCTGTCACATCGGCATCATGATAGACAGGGGTAAAGTTTTTCAGGTGGCCTCCCAATGGGAAATGAGGGAGGGGAATTATTTAAGGAAGAACCAACTCAACAAGTACTGATCTAACGAGTACAACATACTAGACATGGCTATTTTATCCCATAACTGGCAGGCATCTAGTTTTCTCTTCTGAGAGTGTGGGAATTATTTAAGGAGCAAATAATAAAACCTTTTGTTCAGAAACTTCATTCTCTGGGATTGTAATTTCCTTTTAAAATTTCTTTTTACAAAGAAAACCAAATGTCCAGAGCTATTATAGTATTCATACCACCCAAGGCTGCTATTATAGTATTCACACCACCCAAGGCTGCTATTATAGTATTCATACCACCTAAGGTTGCCTGATGCAAAGTCCATGGCACTGCTCATATATCACTTGCCTTTCATTTCTTATCCCTCTGACTGTAACAACCAGAACGATCTCACGTAAACAAATCATTTCCCTTCATAAAATGAGGAAATAGAAAGCAGAATTCATGAACCTACTAAACCAAAACTTATGAATCTGCTAATTAAATCTTTTCCATAATAGAGACTCCTTAATAATTCTTAAAACTGTGTGTGTATATATTTACCAACCACACAAACTAAAATTCATATTGATATTTATACTGTCTTGATTATGTCTACTTGGTAAGACTGAATAACATATAAATATTATTTCAAAAATAATGACAGACCAAATAAGTTGAAATAAATACCCTCTAACATCTCAATTTTGTGTGGTTAAAGGAAGAAATAAATTCATGTAGATATTAAACTTGGTCATGTCTGAAGATATCATGGCAAAGGATACCTTTTTGACATTGATGTGGTATAGACATTATCTCCATCCAACTATTCCCTCCAAATGTAACTATGTATTCTCTTGCTTATTAGTTTTTTTATTAGAAAGAAGTATGCTTAAAAGATATACACAAAATTCCATAAAACCTAACAAAAAAAAAAATCTGCTGAGACTGTACAAATACACTGTGATATTATAGCTAAAATTTTTTTAATCTCAAAATAAGAAAAAGATTAATGTTTGGACTTTACCTTCCTGGAATCTTGTCTTGATGGGATATAAATATAATGCCCCAAACGAGTATCAAATGGTACAGTATATGGTCTCTTTTCAGGGATCCCGGCATCTGGCCCATCTCCACAATTTTCTTTAGCTGAAGAAGTCACTGACAGGTTAAGTTTTGTTAGTTCTTCACTCAGTTGATCCACAAGAAGTTGTTGTTCTATTATTTTTTCATTCTTTGTAGAAAAGAGATGAAAATTTTTAAAATACAGCACTTCAGTACATTTAGATTATGATTAAAAATGAATTTTACATTGACCAAAATCACAACTATTTGAATAATACAGTCAATTCTCATTTATCCAGAGACTAGCCTTCTGGTGTTCACAAGTAATTAACATTGTTCTAAGTGGTAAAACCTTTTCAATAGTAAGGAGCAACAAACACAGCCAAACAAGTTAAATACTCAAAGATAACTCCCCATCCACTGTGACTGGTTGCTTTGCCAACCTGAAGCACTTTGATTAGCTATTTTTATTAAAGCATGGACTTTCTGAGTGAAATCCAAGAAGTAAAAAGAAACAAAAAAGTTGAAAAAGTGGAGAAAGAATTGTAGACAGCAGAGTTTGCAGCAAAGGAGGCAGAAGGAGGTAACAAGCGCAGGAAGTGAAAGCCTCAGTGAAAAAGGAAGCCAAAAGCACAGAGACAGAAGATAGCCAACTGACAGTCCTGAGAGGAAGAAGAAATTGGAAATCAAAGGCAGAACAAATTGTATATCAGGAATGTGGGTGTGTGTGTTTGTGTGTGTATGTGGTTTAGTTTTGTGTATCCTCTAAAGAAAATTTTTGAAGTGTATCAAATCCAGAAAGCTCTAATGTCAATCTTTGTTTTATAAGCACAAATTTATGTAAATAAGAAACAGTCATTCATCTTAATACTTCACATGCACTACAATATTTAAATAGGAAAAAAAAACCCTTACATTTTCATTGTATAAATGCTAAGCAATAAAAATGCAACCTTACTTAAAAATCATATATTCAGATAATTGAAATATACAACATCAATGGCATATAAATTGGAAAGGATTCAATGGAGTTCTTACATTGTCTGGGAAAAGGATAAAAGTACCAATTAATATTAGAGTACACGGTATACTCTCTAGGATAACCACTAAAAAAAAAGAGTAAAACTATAACTTCTAAGTTAGTGGAGAAAACAACAGAAAAGGAAAAAATAACCAATGATTCAAAAGAGGGAAAAAGGAACACAGAGGCAGAAGGATAAATAAAAGGCACAATGGTAGATTTTTACCAAAACAATAATTATGTTTAATAAATGAATTAAATAATGAAATTAAAAGATAAAGACTATCAGAAAGGATTTTAAAATTATCTAACCATATGGTGCTTACAAGAAACATATCTAAAATAGACACAGAAAGATTAAAAATAAGATAGAAAAAGAGATACCATGTAAATATTAATCAAAAGAAAGCTGGTGTAGCTGTAGTAATGTCAGGGTGGACTTTAAGGCAAAACTCATTAGAAGAGATAAGAAGAGGTAAAAAGGATTAAAAGAGCAATTCACCAGGATGGTATAACAATTCTACATTTGTATGCACTTAATAACACAGCTTCAATATTTATAATGCAAAAACTATCAGCACTTCATGAAGAAATAAGACAAATCCAAAATTATAGTAGGGCTGGGCACAGTGGTTCACACCTATAATCCCAGCATGTTGGGAGGCCAAGGCCAGTAGATCACTTGAGCCCGAGAGTTTGAGAGCAGCCTGGATGACATGGCGAAGAACCCCTTGTCTACAAAAAATACAAAAATTAGCAGGGCATTGTGGTATGCACCTGTGGTCCCAGCTACTCAGGAGGCTGAAGTGGGATTGCTTGAGCTCAGGAGGTTGCGGCTGCAATGACTCATGATCGTGCCACTGTGTCCCAGCCTGGGTGACAAAGTGGAGATCTGTCATAGTGGGAGATTTCAACATCTTTATAAATTACTGATATAACAAAAAGACTTCCATGGTGAGTAAAAAATGTAGATTTGAATAACAGGATTAATAGTACCCAATGATTGCAGAATGCATATACTTCTCAAGTACCTCTGTAACATTTAGAAAAATTTGCTTTATTCTGAGCCAAAAAGCGAGTTTCAATACATTCAAAGGACTGAAATCAGAGATAGTATGTTATCTGATCACAATGCAATAAAAATTGATAAAACAAAAATAAATCCCCTATGTCCTATAAATAAAATAACTAGGTTATTCACAAGTCAAAAAACAAAAAGTCACAATGAAAATTAGGAAACATTTTGAGCTCAATGTGGAGGGCAAGTCAAGATGAACTTAGAAATATATAATGTTAGGCCGGGCGCGGTGACTCAAGCCTGTAATCCCAGCACTTTGGGAGGCTGAGACGGGCGGATCACAAGGTCAGGAGATTGAGACCATCCTGGCTAACACGATGAAACCCTGTCTCTACTAAAAAACACAAAAATTAGCCGGGCGCGGTGGCGGGCGCCTGTAGTCCCAGCTACTCGGGAGGCTGAGGCAGGAGAACGGCGTGAACCCGGGAGGCGGAGCTTGCAGTGAGCTGAGATCCGGCCACTGCACTCCAGCCTGGGTGACAGAGCAAGACTCCGTCTCAAAAAAAAAAAAAAAAAAAAAAGAAATATATAATGTTAAATGCATATGTCAAAGAAGAGAAGCTAAAATTTAATATACTAAATATTCATCTAAAGATGTTAAAAAGATAGCAGAAGGTTACCCCAAAAGTAGAAGGAATTAAATAATAAAGGGCAGAAATTAGTGAAATAGTGAACAAACTAATGAAATAATAAACAAACATACACTAGTGAGGATTAACAAAGCCAAAAATTGTCTCTTGAAGAGACTAATGAATTGGTAATTTTACTAGTGAAACTGCAAGAAAAAAAAGTGAGAGAAGGCACAAATAATCAGGAATGAAAAAGGGGACATGTGACTACACAGCTAAAGATATTAACGAATAAAAGACTATCATAAACTTATGCCAATACATTCGAAAATTAGATACAATGGTCAAATTCCTAGAAAAATAAACCTTATCAAAACTGGAGGAAAAGAAAATACTAATATGATTTAATTCATAAAACATACCCCCAAAGAAAATTTCAAGTCCCAAATGCCTCACAGGCTAATTCAACCAAACATTTAAGAAAGAAATAATACCAATTTTTCACACACCCTTCCAGGTATAGGAGGACATTAAATAATCCATATTATGAGGCCAGCATAACTTGTTATAATATCTGACAAGAATATTATGAGAAAGAAAAATACAGGACAAGCTTACTGACAAATATAAACATCATACTAGCAAACAAAATCTAGGTCAATCGTACAGAAGAGTTAATATAGCAGACCCGACTGCTATCTTTTAGAAGACCTGCTATGAGGTTGTCAGATGTCTGAGAACTTGGATTTTGGGAGTGTTCCTAAACGCTCTGGTAATACTGACTCACTGTGCTCAACTATTTGCACAATCAATGTGGTTTATGCGGTACTCCTGCTTTCCTTCAGGTAATCTGGGACTTTGGTTCATGCTAGGCAAAGGGTGCCTTCACGACCCATCCATCCTCAATATAACCCATAGGCACCAAGTCTACTTAGTTTCCCTGGCAGATAACATTTTATAGGTGTTGTCACCACTCATTGCTGGGGGATTAAACACATCCTCTGTGACTCTGCTGAGAGACAAGTCTTAGAAGTTTGTGCCTGGTTTCCTCCAGACTTTGTTCCATGTGTCTTTTTCCTTTGCTGATCTTGCTCTGCATTTTTTCACTGTAATAAATCCTAGCCAGGAGAATGAATATATATTGAGTTCTCCTAGTACGTCATTCAATGTGAGGGTGGTTTTGGGGAACCTCCAATACAACAGTACATCACAATATCAACAACAAAAAGGGTTTATTCCAGGAATAAAAGATTGATTAAAAATTAGATCGATCAGTGTAATTCACCATATTAGCAGAATAAGGAAGAAAAATCATATGATAAAGAAAAACCATTTGATAAAAATCAATATCCATTCATAATAAAAATTCTCAGTAATTTCCTTAGTTTGGGAAACGGTAAATTAAAAATACCTATAGAAAATATAATACTTCAGAGTGAAAGTCTGAGCTTTTCCTCTATCATTGGAAACAAGACAAGGATGCCTTTTTTTTTTTTGAGATGGAGTCTTGCTCTGTCGCCCAGGCTAGAGTGCAGTGGCGCAATCTAAGCTCACTGCAAGCTCCGCCTCCTGGGTTCACACCATTCTCCTGCCTCAGCCTCCCGAGCAGCTGGGACTACAGGTGCCTGCCACCACGCCCGGCTAATTTTTTTTGTATTTTTTAGTAGAGATGGGTTTTCACCCTGTTAGCCAGGATGGTCTCAACTCCTGACCTCATGATCCGCCCACCTCAGCCTCCCAAAGTGTTGGGATTACAGGCGTGAGCCACGGACCCCGGCCAAGACAAGGATGCCTTCTATCACCACTTGTATTCAACACTGCATTGGAGATCCCAGCAAATACAAGAAGGTATTTTTATAACAACTTTATTGAGACAAAATTCACATACTATAGAAACCAACTATTTAAAGTATACAATATAGAAGATACAGAAGAAGAAAAAGATACAGAAAGTGAAAGGATTATAAAGGAAGAAATGAAACTTTTATTATTTGCAGATGACATAATTATAAATGAAAATCCAAAAGAATTTACAGATTTAGGATTAAAAAGCGAGTATAGGCCGGGTGCGGTGGCTAATGTCTGTAATCCCAGCACTTTGGGAGGCCAAGGTAGGTAGATCATTTGAGGTCAGGAGTTCAAGACCAGACTGACTGACATGGTTGAAACCCTGTCTCTACTAAAAACACAAAAAAATTAGCTGGGCATGGTGGTGCACGCCTGTAATCCCAGCTACTCAGGAGGCTGAGGCAGGAGAAGCACTTTAACCCAGGAGGCAGAGGTTGCAGTGAGCCGAGATCATGCCACTGCACTCCAGCCTGGGTGACAGAGTAGAACTCTGTCTCAAAAAAAAAAAAAAAAGCAAGTTTATAGCCAGGCATCGTGGCAGGTGCCTGTAATCCCAGCTACGCAGGAAACTGAAGCAGGAGAATCGCTTGAGTCCGGGAGGCAGAGGTTGTAGTGAGCGGAGACTGTGCCACTGCACTCCATCCTGGGTGACACAGTGAGACTCCGTCTCAAAAAAAAAAAAAAAAGAAATTACTTCCAAAATGTTTGGATCCTTTCCATTTATCTTGGGAATTTTGAAGGTTCCCCACCTGATGGTAACTGTAGGCACTCCTGATCAAAAACTGAGTTTAGTCAGGTTGCTGGATATATAAGGTATTAATATCTAAAAATTAGTACAGTTCCACATACCAACAATTAGGGAATTTGAAAAAATAAAATTTTTTAAAGATTCTATTTATAGTGATAGAAAAAAAATCAAGTACCTACAGAGAAATCTATAAATTATTTGCAATATTTCTGCACAAAAAAAGTAGGCCATTACTAAGAAAAACCAAAGGAAATCTAAGTAAATAGAGAACTATACCATGCTTATGGATTAGGAGACTCAATCAAAACATGTTCATTAATTCTAAACAGATATATAAATGTAATTCAATGTTAATTAATTAATGTTAACCAACTTGATTGAATCTTTCCGTAATGTATACATACATCGAAACATTACACTGTATCCCAGAAACATACAAAATTATTATTTGACCATGAAAAATAAATAAATGAAAATAGCATTTTCATCTAAGTGAAAGAAGTCACACACAAAGGCCACTTACTGTATGATTCCAGTTATATGAAATGTTTAGAATAGGCAAATCCATAGAAGTAGAAAGTAAAGTGGTTTTTGCCAGGGGCTGAGGAAAGGAGGAAAATGAGTAGTGACTGCTAATGGATACAATATTTTCATTTTGGGTGATAAAAATATTCTAAAATTAGACGGTGTGATGGTTAGACAACTCTGTAAATACATTAAAAAATCACTGAATTGTATATTTGAAGGGCTGAATTCTATAGTATGTGAATTATATCTCAATAAAGTAGTTATTTTAAAAAATTTAAAAATTCAAATAAAATTTATATGGAACAACCAAGACATCTGGGGAGTGGGGAGGGAAGGAGAACAGCAGAAGGCCTTGATCTACAAAATATCTAGACTTATTATAAACCTACAATAAATAAGAAATGTGATCTTGGCTCAAGGATATACAAATCAACCAACAGAATAAAAGGCCAAGAAATAGACAAGAGATTCATGCACAAATGGACCACGATTTATGATAAAGATAGCACTCAAAACAGTTGCAAAAAGATGGTTTCCAATAAATGATGCTAGGACAAATGAGTATCTATATGTTTAAAAAATGAAATTTGATCTTTACTTTATTCCACACACAGAAATCAATTCCTGGGGGACTATACAGCTAAATGTGGAAGGCAAAACAATAAAGCTTCTGGAAGATAATACAGAAAGTATCCTCAGAGGAGACAATTGGTGTAAGGAAAAACTTATTAAATAGAGAACAAATATCATTAACCATAAAGAAAAAGATTGACGAATTTGATTACAACAAGAATTCTTCATCAAAGATACCACTGAGAGTAAAAGGCAAGTCACAGAAAAATTATTTGCAATCATATAAGTGACAAAGCACTCATACCCAGAATATACAACAAAATTCTACAAATTAATCTAGAAGACAGGTAACTCAGTAGAAAAACAAGCAAGAGACTTGAATGAGTACTTCACAAAAGAGGATATCCAAATAGCCAAAAATACATGAATAAAATGCTCAACCTCACTAGTCATCAGGGAAATGCAAACTAAAGCCACAATAAAATACTACATACCTACCAGATTGGCTGAGATTTAAAAATTAATAACAAATGTTGAGAAGCATATGGAACAGTGGGAATGCTCACATAGTGCTGGGTGGGAGTGTAAAATGGAAAACAATCTGGTATCACCTACAAAAGTTGAAGATACACCTACCCTATGGCCTAGCAATTCAACTCCTAGGCACAAATCTCCAAGAAATGTATGTGCATGTGCACTGAGAGACACTGAAAATTCACAAGAAAATTTCACAGAAAACCACAAATGTCCATCAAACAGTAGAACAGAAAATAAATTGTGGTATAGTCATACAATAAAATCCTATGTAGCTATAAAACTAAACAAACCACAGCCACACATTACAGATAAAATATTAGAATTTACAGAAAAAATATTACAATTAAAAAGTGGATGAATCATAATAATGTTCAACAAAGCAGCCAGATACTGAATAAGCTATACTGAATAAATTAATAAAAATTCCAAAACCTAAACTGGAGTGTTGAAGGATACATATTTAGATAGTAAAACCATAAGAAAAGCAAAGAAATGATTACCATGTAAGTCAAGAGAGTGGTTGTCTTTGAGGAAGAGGCACTAAGAATTTTGAGGCGCTGGCAGTTAGCAATTTCTTGACCTGGTGGTGGTTACCCAGCTGTTCTCTTTGTGATAAATCACTGATTAATACATATTGTTTTGTATATACTTTAGTTTTATGTTTTTAAATTATTATACAATTAGGGCCAGGCATGGTGACTCATGCCTGCAATCAATCTCAGCACTTTGGGAAGCTGAGGTGGTACGATCACTGAGCCCAGGAGTTCGAGACCAGCTTGAGCAATACAGTGAGACCCCATCTCCACAAAAAAATCAGAAAATTAGCTGGGCATGGTGGCATGCACCTGTGGTTGCAGCTACTTAGGAGGCTGAGGTAGAAGGATCACTTCAGCCCGGGAGGTCGAGGCTGCAGTGAGCTGTGATTGTGCCAGTGCACACCAGCCTGAGCAACAGAATGAGATCCTGTCTCAAAACAACAACAACAAACAACAACAAAATACAATTAGAAGGGTTAAAAAAGAAAACAAAAATCAAACAACGTGAAAATCAAAATCTGATGTGTGCTAGATTAGATTATTTCTCTGGGTATTAGTTATTCCCTGATAGGAAGCTAAAGGCTTTAAATGATATTAACTATTTGGGGTGATGGGAGAAGTCACAGCCAGGGAGTACAATATTTAGAGGCATACTATGTTATACTGTAGACATATCCATGTTAATAGGAAAGTTAAGATATAAAATTTGAAAGATGTTTAACCAAAGTTAAAAAGCAAATCACTCACAAGGTGTAAGAGGATAATTTAATACATTTCAAAGTTTAAATTATGTATTTACCTTCCAACTCCTAATAATATTTCCTAATACCTTGGCAAACAACAGGAAGGAAAAGTATGGAAAAAATAACCATGATATGATTTATAAATTAATTTCCTGGGTATTATCTTTATATTTCTAAAACCAAAGTCAAGCTAACAATAAAAATGTTTCCATTTAAGCAGATTTAAGGGAAAAACTAATAATTCTTTCAGGTGCCTATGTTCAGAACTCTTCAAATGAACATCCTCTTTTTAAGTTCCCATTTATCATTTAAAATGCTACTGTGTTTAATTAGGTACTATTTCAAGAAACTATACAGAGTTAGATGCATTAAGAAACTACCTGCAATCTATTCACTTTTTGCGCTTCTTTCAAAGATACCGCATGCCCTTTGTTTTCCTGTACCATCATCTGCACTTGATTCTTCAGTTCCTTCACCTCTAGTTCCTTCTGATTAAATACTACTTCATCAGCAGCAAGCGCACACTAGTGGGGAAAGAAGGCACAAGTGACATTCACCACTGAAAATAATCAAGAAACCTCATATGATAACACAAAATGGTGATTAGATTATAGCCTGATGACGTCTCATGAATTTTTTTTTTTTTCATTTTCAACTTTTTCTGATTTCTTTCTAAGGAAGGCAGAGTTGAGAGAACCTATCATTGCTATGACATAGGAATTCATTACCATGAAGACAGAAGATTTTCCTGATTTTTCCTTCCTGTATATAAAAACTAGTTGTTTTGGTTCTAGAGTACCTTCATTAAGATTTTTACAAGTTTGCTAGAACTATTACAAGATTTTAATGTGGATCACTCAAAGAGCTCACATTTTCCAAATTGACATATAGGGTTATAAGAATACATTTGGGCATCTGAATGAAGTAGATTTGCTGATTTTGTACACTTTCGTCATGAAGAGATATATTCTGAAGATGTCGAAAAATGATTAAACAGTTTTACTTCTTGGTTTCTAATAAATTTGCCTATTTTTAAGAACACTTGGGATATGTAAACAATAAAGTAGTTTTTAAATTAAATAAACAGAAAATTATTTGTCAAGTGCCTCATTCCACATGTTGGCTTGGCATTTAAAAAATCTCACTAAATAAGATGTTGGCATGGATGCGGTGATCAGGGAACACTTCTACACTGCTAGTGGGAATGTAAACTAGTACAGCCACTATGAAAAACAGTGTGGAGATTCCTTGAAGAACTAAAAGTAGAACTACCATTTGGTCCAGCAATCCCACTACTGGGTATCTACTCGGAAGAACAGAAGTCATTATACAAAAAAGATACTTGTACACGCATGTTTATAGCAGTACAATTCACAATTGCAAAATTGTGGAACCAACCCAAATGCCCATCAATCAACGAGTGGATAAAGAAACTGTGATACATATATGTATCTGAGAGTAAAAGGCAAGCCACAGAAAAATTATTTGCAATCATATAAGTGACAAAGCACTCATACCCAGAATATACAACAAACTTCTACAAATCAATCTAGAAGACAGGTAACTCAATAGAAAAACAAGCAAGAGACTTGAATGAGTACTTCACAAAGGAGGATATCCAAATAGCCAAAAATATATGAAAAAAATGCTCAACCTCACTAGTCATCAGGGAAATGCAAACTAAAGCCACAATGAAATGTGGCTTTCCTGGCAACAACAGCGAAACTCTGTCTCCAAAAAAAAAAAAAAAAAAAGAGCATTTATCTGTTCAATGTATTTGTGTTCATGTATTTTTTTCTGTGTTCAAAACTTGGAATAAAAAGGGCAATAAAGTCCCTTAAGAGATACTTTAAGAGATACTTATGAGCAGGTAGAATGTTCCAAACATTGACTCATGGTGAAAAATCAAGGTTGCAACACTATCTGGCAGCTTCTAAAAATAAGATGGTAACTTCAAAATGACACTTAACTTCCCTAGCAACAATCCAGCTGTTACTCTATCTGCCAGACGGCCCACGATCTTACCTTGGCTAAGAATTTTTAAAATATGTACTGACCTGCTTGCCTAATAGGCTCAAGAATAATAGGGATTGAGAAAAGGATATCCTTGCTTGTCGCACAGACCTGCTGGTCACCTTGCCCAGCAATCCCCCTAAGCAGCTGAGTTTACCAAGCTGCCTTCACAGTAACCCCTGGGATGTAACCCTACCTACAACTACTGAGTCCAATCCCTTAGCTGCCACTGATGTATATCATAGGCACGGGCAGGTGAAAAATAAATGAGAGGTATATATAGTAATAAGCTAACATACATTATGTCTTAGAACAGGCCAGGCATCCTCATTGCTTTATGGGAATAAATGCTTTAATATTCGCACAACCGTATAAAGTGGGTATTACTGTTTTTATTTTACAGATGGGGAAACTGAAGCACAAAGGTCAACTATTTGCCCCAGGTCATACAGCTAGTAAGCAAACGAGGCAGGATTCAAACTTAGGGAGTTTGGTATCCATATTCTTAACCAGTATGTTATTCTGCCTGTCATAGAAGAACAGAAAATAAAGTTTTAAGAATGATTTTCTAGTCAGGTGCAGTGGCACACACCTGTAGTCCCAAGATACTCAAGAGGCTGAGGTGAAAAGTTATGTCCTGAGTGGCTGGGACTACAGATGCATGCCACCACACCCAGCTAATTTTTTTTTTTTTTTAATTTTTGTAAAGACAGGGTCTCACTCTGTTGCCCAAGCTGTTCTCGAATTCCTGGGCTCATACGATCCATCCACTTTGGCTTTCCAAAGTGCTGGGAATACAGGTGTAAGCCACCATGCTGGCCAAAACAATTTTTTAAAGAGATATATGCCGGGCACAGTAGCTCAAGCCTGTATCCCAGGACTTTGGGAAGCAGAGGCGGGCAGATAACTTGAGGTTAGGAGTTTGAGACCAGCCTGGCCAACATGGTGAAACACCGTCTCTACTAAAAATACAAAATATAGCCAGGCATGGTGGCAGTGCTTGTAATCCCAGCTGCTCAGGAGGCTGAGGCAGGAGAATCCCTTGAATCTGGGAGGTGGAAGTTGGGCTACATGGCAACATACTGTCTCTGCAAAAAATACAAAAATTAGCCTTGTGGCCGGGCGCGGTAGCTCACGCCTGTAATCCCAGCACTTTGGGAGGCCAAGGCAGGCAGATCACCTGAGGTTGGGAGTTTGAGACCAGTGCAACTAACATAGAGAAACCCCGTGTCTACTAAAAATACAAAAAATTAGCCTGGCATGGTGGCGCATGCCTGTAATTCGAGCTACTCGGGAGGCTGAGGCAGGAGAATCACTTGAACCCAAGAGGCAGAGCTGGCGGTAAGCTGAGATCATGCCATTGCACTCCAACCTGGGCAACAAGAACAAAACTCTGTCTCAAAAAAAAAAAAAAACATTAGCCTTGCATGGTGGCCTGTGCTCCCAGCTACTCAGGAGGCTGAGGTGGAAGGACTGCTTGAGCCCTGGACGTCAAGGCTGCAGTGAGCCATGATCATGCCACTGCACTCCAACCTCAGTGACACAGGGAGACCCTGTCTCCAAAAAAAAAAAGAAAGAAAGAAAAAGAAACCCATTTGCTTTTTGCAATCTACTATTTCCCAAAATAATCTGATCATGGTACTTTTTTCAACAAAACTGTTAATATCTTTAGGATGTAATAATCTAGAGAACATAATCGAGGGCAAACTTAAATTTATTTTCCAACACGTGGAAAGAGGAACTTACTACCTACCTTACCGCCAAGCAATCGGTTTGATGGGCTTCCAATTTCAGCCACCTTAGAAGCATGACAGAAAAGTGCTTCCTATTACCAACTCCTATATATGTCCCAACATTCAAGCTTCCAATTACCAGTACTTCCTGTTCCACCAGTTTCTTATACTAATGAGGAAGGGTCTGCTCTACCTATGCAGAATTGCTACGTTTCAGAAAAAAAAAAAGAACTAAAAAAAAAAATGATTTAAAAAGTATTACATGTGGCCGGGCGCGGTGGCTCAAGCCTGTAATCCCAGCACTTTGGGAGGCCGAGACGGGCGGATCACGAGGTCAGGAGATCGAGACCATCCTGGCTAACCCGGTGAAACCCCGTCTCTACTAAAAAAATACAAAAAACTAGCCGGGCGAGGTGGCGGGCGCCTGTAGTCCCAGCTACTTAGGAGGCTGAGGCAGGAGAATGGCGTGAACCCGGGAGGCGGAGCTTGCAGTGAGCCGAGATCCGGCCACTGCACTCCAGCCTGGGCGACAGAGCGAGACTCCGTCTCAAAAAAAAAAAAAAAAAAAAAAAAAGTATTACATGTTTCTATGTCATTATTTATTTATTCATTTATGTTTAGAGACAGGGTCTCACTCTGACCCCAGGCTGGAGTGCAGTGGTGCAATCACAGCTCACTGCAGCCTTGAACTCCTGGGCTCAAGCAATCCTCCCACCTAGGTCACCAGAGTAGGTGGGACCACAGGCATGTGCCACCATGTCTGACTAGTTTTTTCATTTTTTGTAGAGACAGGGGTCTCATTTTGTTTCCCAGACTGGTCTCAATCTCCTGGGCTCAAAACAACCCTCCAGCCTCAGTCTCCCAAAGTGCGTGATTACAGGCATGAGCCACTGTGCTGGCTGAGACTAGTACATTAATGTAACAAGATAGTTTCAAATCTCATATTTCAAGTAACGAGAAATTTCCGCTTGTTGAGTTTGCTGTAATAGGAAAGAAGAACATCCACAATTATCTGAAAATTCAGTGAAATACTCCTCCCGGCGGGGCGCAGTGGCTCACGCTTGTAATCCCAGCACTTTGGGAGGCCAAGGTGGGCGGATCACGAGGTCAGGATATCGAGAACACGGTGAAACCCCGTCTCTACTAAAAATACAAAAAATTAGCCGGGCGCGGTGGCGGGCGCCTGTAGTCCCAGCTACTCAGGAGGCTGAGGCAGGAGAATGACGTGAAACCGGGAGACGGAGCTTGCAGTGAGCCGAGGTCGAGATCGCGCCACTGCACTCCAGCCTGGGCTACAGAGCCAGACTCTGTCTCAAAACAAAACAAAACGAAACAAAAAAAAACTCCTCCCTTCAAACTATACAACTATGAGGCTGAATTTTCTTCACAAACTTCAACGAAAACAACATATTGCAACAAACTGAATACTGAAGCAGATACGAAAATCCAACTGTCTGTTATTAGATCAGATGTTAAAGACATTTGCAAAAATGTAAAGGAATTCTACTCTTACTAAAATTTTTGTGTGTGTTGGCTGGGTACAGTGGCTCACACCTATAATCCCAGCACTCTGGTAGGCCAAGGCAGGCAGATCATGAGGTCAAGAGATGGAGACCATCCTGGCCAACATGGTGAAACCTCGTCTCTACTAAAAATACAAAAATTAGCTGGGCATGGTGGCATGCACCTGTAGTCCCGGCTACTTGGGAGGCTGAGGCAGGAGAATCGCTTCAACCTGGGAGGCAGAGGCTGCAGTGAGCCGACATCATGCCATTGCACTCCAGCCTGGTGAGAGAGCAAGATTCCATCTCAAAAAAAAAAAAAAAAAAAAATTGTATTAGAAAATATTTTTCATTAAAAGTGCTCTTTATATTAACATGTAATTGGGTTACCGTTAGTTTTGAATGAATAAATAGCTTAGATTTTTTCCAGTTTTAATTCTAACACACTAAATACCAATAGATATAACCCACATAACAAAAGCTCTTTGAGGGATCTCACTTTAAAAGTGTAAAGAAGAAGTCCTGTGATCAAAAAGTTGGAGAACTTGAGAACTGCTCTAACAGAGGATAATACAAATGCCTTCTTTATAATATTACATGTAAAAAGGCTTTGAGGAAATATTTCTAGCTAGAGAAATAAGCTTAGAGCTTTAAAAAAAAAAAAAAAGGAAATATACTTAAACCATATTTCCTTTTTAAGTAAAAAGCTATCTTTTCAAGTTTTCCTTTTTTGAAAAATGGACAGAATGATGGAATCTGGGAGCCATGTTATCTCAGGAACAACTGAAGGACCATTCATTTGCTCACTAGATTGCAAACTCCATCCAAGCAAGCAGTAACTAGGTGTGTCTGTCCTCTACCATTCCCACAACATACAATCTTCACACAATAAATAATTTCTGAATGAAAAGTGGGGAAATGTAAATCTGAACTCAATACATGTACATATAACACACATACATGTACATACCTACATTCCTTAAACATTAATAAATAGGCTAATTTGTTAGGTTTTTTTTTTTAAAACCTATACTCCAAACACAAGAGATGAAGTATTTCTTTTCTTTCAAGAACTACTGACCCACAGAGGGAAAAAAACTCAGTAAAAGATAACTTAATTTTATTTCTCAAATAAGTTCATTTTCAGTCTCTAAATTGACAACCAGGTCCACAAAGTTCTATTTAATAAATATAACAAATTAAAATACACTTTAACCAAAGGAGAAAGGAGGAGGAGTCAAGAAGAGTATGAATTGTGAGGAGGAAGCAATAGGAAAGGGGAGGGTAGAAAGAACAAAGTGAGAGAGGCAAGTGGGATTCTATATATAAATCACTTTTTAAAAAACCTAAAATTCCAAAATGACTCTTAGAATTTACTTGCCCAAATAAATTTAGTCCTTAAAAGAGTTATCCATAATAATGTCTAAATATGTTAACACACACACCCCCAAAATATGTACATCTATTATGTATCAATAAAATAAATAAATAAATAAGTGATGTCTAAGTACCTGGCATTTCTTAAGCTCTCTCTTCAGCTGGAGAACTGTAACATGCTCTGGTCCTTCTTCCAGACTTGCAGTGCCTCCGATTCCTCGAAATGAGGTGACCACAGCCTTCCTGACCTCTTGGATCATGTTAAACCACTCCTGCAGTTTGTATTGCTGCTTTTGGTTTAGTCTGACAGTATCTTTTAAGTCAACCAGGAAGGTAAAGGCTTCTTCTACACAACATTGGTAACCCAGACATTCTCCCTGAAGCTGAGCTACTTGCTCCTCAAGAGAATGAATCCTATTTGTATCAGGACTCCCTTCTCGATGGATCTGGCTAGTTTGGCTGACATTAGCCTGCTGGCTTTGCAAAGCTTCTCGAAGCAATTTAATCTCAAATTCCATTTCATCTATACGGTCTGACTCGGGGCTGAAGTTTACAGTGGGTTTGTTTCTAATGTTCCGTGCTCTGTTGGCATATTTGAGAGAATTTAACGACTCATCAAAATTCGAGGAGGAGGGGCTGACACATGTGATCATGACAGTCTTAGCACTGCCTCCCAGAGAATCTTTCAGAAGCCGGGTAATTTTAGCATCCCTATATGGAATATGTGAACTCTTCCTGCGTGGGTCCCCCAGAGCACTTATTACATTTCCTAACGCCAGCAATCCACTATTGATTTGAATGGATTCTTTGAACCGTTCACCAGTATTCCCCGTTTTGGTTACTCTTTCTGATCCTGCCAAATCCACAAAGTGGAACTTTGAGACAATATGCCGAGGTGAATACCATGATCCATCTTCAGCTGCCTCCACATTTTTATGAACTTGACAAATGCTGATTGTAAAAATTGCGTGTGATCTGCTGGAGTGCTCATTCATTTGGGTGGTACCTGTATGTCTGGCTGCATTCCCCGTCTCCAAAAGGCTCATCACTTCATCTGCACTCTCCACATGGCATTCCTTGGCCCCAACAATCACTTAAAATAGCAATGACATGTTGTTAAGCCAAGTTTTCATCAAAACCTAGTATAGTTAAGAGTTACCATTTGCTAAACAGTCTGGCCAAGATAGTCTCTTTTTAAAAAAGTCAAATGCATTTCAAATAACAATAGTAACATCAGCAACATCATCAAATAATTTTAGATAATCTCCCAAAGAGACTATTTTAACAGACAGCACTCATTTTGATGTTTAAATTCTAAAAGCTATAATTTTTTGAAAAAACAATCTAGTTTGTCTTGAGTCATGAGTCACACTCAATTCCTTAAAATGAATGACAAAAGAAAACATTCTTCATTCCAGTCTTTTGATTTGTAAAGCCTAATAGATTAATCTTTTTTATTTTTTTCTTGAGACGGAGTCTCTGCCTGTCACCCAAGCTAGAGTGTAGTGGCACAATCTTGGCTCACTGCAACCTCCACCTCGGGTTCAAGTGGTTCTCCTGCCTTAGCCTCCCGAGTAGCTGGATTACAGGCGTGCACTACCACACCTGGCTAATTTTTTTTATATTTTTAGGAGAGACGGGGTTTCACCACATTGGCCAGGCTGGTCTTGAACTCCTGACCTCAGGTGATCCACCTGCCTTGGCCTCCCAAAGTGCTGGGATAACAGGTGTGAGCCACCGCACCCGGCCTAGGTTAATCTTTTATAAATTAATCGAATACATAATTCAAAAGAGTTAATCAGTAGATTAGAAGAATTAATTAGTATCAATTAAAAGGCATTAGTTGGCCAGGCGAGGTGGGTCAAGCCTGTAATCCCAGCACTTTGGGAGGCCGAGACAGGTGGATCACGAGGTCAGGAGATGGAGACCATCCTGGCTAACACGGGGAAACCCCGTCTCTACTAAAAAAATACAAAAGACTAGCCGGGCGTGGTGGCAGGTACCTGTAGTCCCAGCTACTTGGGAGGCTGAGGCAGGAGAATGGCGTAAACCCGGGAGGTGGAGCTTGCAGTGAGCTGAGATCCGGCCACCGCACTCCAGCCTGGGCGACAGAGCAAGATTCCGTCTCAAAAAAAAAAAAAAAAAAAAGCATTAGTTTTTTTTTTTTTCAGCTTTATTAATAATCAAGCCATCCTTGGCTTTTAAGTTTTTTGGTATTGTGAGGTCATAATCAATGATGAGTAAAAAATTCAATACAAATAAAGTTGGTTATTCATTTTAAAAACAGGTATGGTTTATATAATATCAGAATGCAAGGTAGACAGATGAGATGGCAATTAAAACACTTTGAATACCATAATGTACTGTACTCAAAAAAGAAAAAAAGTTTTTATTTCAATCACAGAATGAACTAAAAATAACCTACATTTACTACCTGCGTTATTTGTTTATATCCAAAAATACTGCAAAGACAAGTAGGTGGACTTAGGAATTGAATCAGAGAAGGAAAGCTCCTGATTTCATGCTCAAATTATATTGCCATAATTCATCTTTACTCAGATACTGTCACATCACTATTTCTTTAAAAAATAATCATTTCACTTTCATTATTTCCATCATGACACTTTTTAAACAACCCAGTTCCTGTAAGTCATAGTAAAACTTTCATTAACTGTTTCATTAAATTTTTCCAATGTTAGGCTATAAGTGAGCACGACAGTTCTCAAACCCAGATGCAAACCACCTGGTAGCTTTATAGAAAAGAAAGTGCCAACACCCAGGCACCACCTCAGACCCATTAAATCAGAACCCCTGAGAAGTAGGACCCAGAAATCAGTATTTTTAAAAAGCTTCCCACATGTACTAATTGTGCAGCAACCAGCATGGACATTACTGCTTTACACGGAGACTCTAAAGAAATATGTCAAACAAATGCACTTTACTTGTGAGTGGGACATTATGTAAGACATACTGTAATTTAAGATCATTTGTAACATCCTTCCAAAATTTTTTCAACATTGGTATCAGATATGAAATATTTTCATCAAGTTTATCAAGAGTGATAGTGAAGTGTATATACTTCTGTCCTGCTTGATATTTTACAAAGAAGCATGTATTATTTTTGTAACTGTTTGATAAAAGATAAAAACAATCAATAATTGTATTCCATAAGGTAAAGGAGCTCAAAACATTAGTCTGAATTATATCCAGAAGAGAGAAACTGTACTGAATTATCTAATAAGACCATAAGCTACCATATATAGTTTCTTCTCAAAAAACAAAAACAGGTCTGGCGCGGTGGCTCACGCCTATAATCCCAGCACTTTGGGAGGCCGAGGCGGGCAGATCACGAGGTCAGGAGTTTCAGACCAGCCTGACAAACATGGTGAAATCCGTCTCTACTAAAAATACAAAAATTAGCCAGGCATGGTGGCACGCACCTGTAATCCCAGCTACTTGGGAGGCTGAGGCAGGAGAATGGCGTGAACCCGGGAGGCAGAGCTTGCAGTGAGCCAAGATCATGCCACTGCACTCCAGCCTGGCTCACAGAGGTGAGACCCTGTCTCCAAAAAAAAAAAAAGAAGTCACTGCAATATTATTAATAATAGTTAAAACCTGGAAACAGCCTAAATGTCCAACAATGGAATATTAAGTAACTATAAACACATTCATAAGATAAATTACCATATAATGATGAAGAGTCATAAGTATGAAAAATATTTAATCATATGTGAAAATGTTCACAATATAAATATTAGGTGAAATATAAAATGCAAAACTGTGTGTAGGGTTGCAAGTATATATATTTTAAAAATTATATGTACATAGAAAAATAATTCTGGAAGGAAACACACCAAAAAGAGAAGTTGGTATTTCTAGGCTCTAGGATTAAAAATAATCTTTAACTTTCTTCCTTATACTTTCCTGTTTTCAAAATACTCTATGATGAACATGTTAGCTTTTGAACTGGAAAAGCAGAAATTGTTATTCTTCAAAATATTTGCAGTTTGACCCTCCCATTCTAACCTTCTCCCATTTCCAACAAATGAATATTGGTTAACGGAATTAACAGGCTACTAACGCAGAAAGTCAGACCTTGAGGAACACAGCAAGAAAAACAGGTAAATGTCAATATGAAAAAACAAAAATATAAACTCTTAACTTTAAAAAAAGAGGAAGAATTACGTGTGCTGGGACAAAAATCAAAGAAAAGAAAGGCAAGTTCTGGGTCAACTTTGATAAATGCTTAAAGCAAAAGCCATCCCCAATCTCAGGGTAGAGTTGAGAGGAAAAAAGATATAAAAACAAATTTAGCCTATATCACAGTCTCACCTGAAGTCGGTCTAGAGGGGAACAATGATAGGAAATCAATATCTTGCATTACAAATTAATAACTTCACCTTACCAACCAGTCTGAACTACTTTTCCATCTGAGTAATTTAAGAGAGATTAATAGGCTGGGAACAGTGGCTCACACCTGTAATCCCAGCACTTTGGGAGGCCGAGGCGGGCGGATCACGAGGTCAGGAGTTTCAGACCAGCCTGACAAACATGGTGAAATCCGTCTCTACTAAAAATACAAAAATTAGCCAGGCATGGTGGCACGCGCCTGTAATCCCAGCTACTCGAGAGGCTGAGGCAGCAGAATCACTTGAACCCAGGAGGCAGAGGTTGCAGTGAGCCAAGATCGCACCACTACATTCTAGCCTGGGTGACCCGGGTGATGGAGCGAGATGCCATCTCAAAAAAAAAAAAAAAAAGAGATTAATAATCAATAAAGCTGTTCAAGTTAAAAGTAAAACTAAATTCATTTTGCTTCTGTATGTTTTTAAAGATTCCTTGGAATATATCCAGAAACTGAATTAAAGCATGTCTGTTTGCTAATGAAGGCAACTGATTAAGCGGGCTACTTTACCGGTATTTCCTTTCTCATCTTCTCGGATGTGAAGATCCTTCATGGATGTCTCCAATTCTAGAAGATCTCTTAGGTCTTCCTTGTACACTTCTATATAAGATACTTTCACATTAAAGTCAATGCTAGGATGTTCAGAGATGCTTTGAAATATTTCTTGAATAGCTCGAGGAATGATACCCTTTTGGCCCTCCACAACCGAAGCTGAAAATTTAGAAAAAGAAAGCACATCTGGAACTTAAAACAAAAGAAAAGCGACAACCCCAATTTTATAGTTAATTTATTTTATTACATTTCTCTCTATTATAACTTTATTTTTTTTTTGAGACAGAGTCTTGCTCTGTTGCCCAGGCTGGAGTGTCGTGGTGCAATCTCAGCTCACTGTAACCTCCGCCTATCGAATTCAGGTGATTCTCCTGCCTCAGCCTCCTGAGTGGCTGGGATTACAGATGCCCACCACCAGGCTATTATAACTTTTTTAAACCGCAACTATAAAATTCACAAGTAAAAGTTTTCACATGTATCCCCTTACCAAGAATTCATTCAAGCATTCATTGAACAAGTATTTATTTAGTATCTACTATGTGCCAGGCACTATTCTAGGACTCTGCAATCCACCAATAAACAAAACAGGGAGGAAAGAAACCCCTTCCCTGGTGAGATTCTGCTGACAAAAGACTGACAATAGCAAAAAAGAATAAGTGATAAGTGAATTATATGGCATATTAAAAAGTATTAATTGTACCTGGAGGAAAAAAATACAGCAGGGTAAGGGGACTAGAAGTGTAACTACCAGCCAGGAGATGCTTGCAACTTTAAACAGGAAGGTCATGGTGGGCATCATTCAGAAGGTGACATCTGAGAAAAGACTTGAAACAGGCCGAGCGTGGTGGCTCATGCCTGTAATCCCAGACTTTGGGAGGCTGAGGCAGGCAGATCACTTGAGCCCAGGAGTTCAAGACCAGCTTGGGCAACGTAGTGAAACCCTGTCTCTACTAAAAATACAAAAATTAGCTAGCTAGGTGTGGTGGCTCATGCCTGTAATCCCAACTATTTGGGTGGCTAAGGCACGAGAATCACTTGAAGCTGGGAGGTGGAGATTGCAGTGAGCTAAGACAGCGCTACTGCACTCCAGCTTGGGCGACAGAGGGAAACTGTCTCAAAAAAAAAAAAAAAAAAATTTAATAAGAAAATATATTTGAAAAGTCCCAGGAATGAAACAGACATTAAGTGGCACAGGCGAATTTCAAAGCACGTAGATGTGGTAGAAATGTACATTTTAATATAAATGATAAAACTATATGGAGTGGCATTTTATTCCATAAATAGGCCATACTGTGGTGGCTCACACCTGTAATCCTAGCACATGGGGAGGCCAAGGTCGGTGGATCGCTTGAGCTAAGAAGTTTGAGACCAGCCTGGGCAACATGGCAAGATCCCTTCTCTACAAAAAATACAAAAAAATTTCGTGTTGCATGCCTATGGTCTCAGCTGCTTGGGAGGCTGAGAAGGGAGGATTACTTGAGGTTGGGAGCCAGAGGTTGCAGTGAGTCAGGAGACAGAGCCTGGGTGACAGAGCAAGACCCTTTCTCAAAATAAATAAATAAATAAACAAACAAACAAACAAACTTTATCTTTCCCAATTCACTGTTCATTAAATACTAGATCCAGAGAGGTGGCCCTTGGCTCATAAAACATCATTCTACACAAAGGGCTTCCCTTGCCTAAAGCCACTCCACCTCTCGGATATTCACTACTACTAGTAGGAGCCATGTTATAAAAACGTTGGTGTTTTTGGCCATGCACAGTGGCTCACGCCTGTAATCCCAGCTCTCTGGGAGGCCGAGGCAGGTGGATCACGAGGTCAGGAGATCGAGACCATCCTGGCTAACACGGTGAAACCCCATCTCTACTAAAAATACAAAAAATTAGCCAGGTGTGGTGGCGGGCACCTGTAGTCCCAGGCTGAGGCAGGAGAATCGTGTGAACCCGGGAGGCGGAGCTTGCAGTGAGCCGACATCATGCCACTGCACTCCAGCTTGGGCGACAGAGTGAGACTCTGTCTCAAAAAAACAAAAAAAGTTGGTGCTTTTAGATGACATATAATTTCTAAAGCAGAAAATAGCTGTAAAAAGCAGGAAACTGACCCTAGGTAAGACCAATCTATTTCACAGTCTTTTGCACTAAAATATCTTTCTCTTTAGATCATTTATTATGGTCTGGGTGGAATCCCAATCACTGGAGCACAATTCATTTATGTTGGCAAGATTTTTTTTTTTTTTTTTGGTGAGACAGAGTCTCACTCTGTTGCCCAGGCTGGAGTGCGGTGGTGCGATCTCGGCTCACTGCAACCTCCGCCTCCCAGGTTCAAGTGATTCTCCTGCCTCAGCCTCCCAAGTAGCTGGGACTACAGCCGTGTGCCACCATGCCCAGCTAATTTTTTGTGTTTTCAGTTGAGATGGGGTTTCACCGTGTTAGCCAGGATGGTCTCGATCTCCTCACCTCACAATCTGCCCGCCTCGGCCTCCCAAACTGCTGGGATTATAGGGATGAGCCACCACGCCCGGCCAAGAATGCTTTTCTTAAAAAATTCCTATATTTCTGGGCCGGGCGCGGTGGCTCAAGCCTGTAATCCCAGCACTTTGGGAGGCCGAGACGGGCGGATCACGAGGTCAGGAGATCGAGACCATCCTGGTTAACCCGGTGAAACCCCGTCTCTACTAAAAAAATACAAAAAACTAGCCGGGCGAGGTGGCGGGCGCCTGTAGTCCCAGCTACTCGGGAGGCTGAGGCAGGAGAATGGCGTGAACCCGGGAGGCGGAGCTTGCAGTGAGCAGAGATCCGGCCACTGCACTCCAGCCTGGGCGACAGAGCGAGACTCCGTCTCAAAAAAAAAAAAAAAAATTCCTATATTTCTTTACACGTCACCAAGTGTATCTGTTCTGAGATTTCTGGATGGGGTGAAAAGGTGCAAGGAGCTTGAGAGTAGAAAGGGATAATGGGAAAAGACGGAGAAGCAAGCCAAAGTTGATCGTGACAGAGAATGTGTGCACAAGGAGGTGCAGAAAGGCCAGTTATGCCCAGGCCTAGACTCTCAGTTCAAGAATGAGAAAGGGAACATCTCTACACCTCTTCTCCTCCAACACTATCTAAGCCCACAGCTTCTACAACCCAGAACACAGACCAGTACAGTAACATTATGAGTAAACACGTATTTCTGTTCCCCCTTGCTTCAAAAAGGAGTTAAAGCAGGTTTACAAATAGGCGTAGGAGGGGCTCAAACAGATACTTCTACATCAGTGTTCATAGTAACATTATTTACAGGAGCTACAATGGGGAAGCAAACCAAACGTCCATCAAAAGAAGAATGGATAAATAAAACATAGTATATATATACAATGGAATGTTCTTGGAAAAAGGAATGACGTTCTGATAGGTGGCATAACATGCTAAGTGAGAGAAGCTAGACACAGGAGGAAAAATACTGTATGATTCCACTTCTTTTTTCTTTTCTTTTTCTTTTTCTTTTTTTTTTTTTTTTTTTTTTTTTTGAGACAGGGTTTCACTGTGTCACCCAAGCTGGAGTGTAGTGGCACAATCATGGCTCACTGCGGCCTTAACCTCCTGGGCTCAGGTGATCTTCCCACCTAAGCCTCTGAAGTAGCTGGGACTACAGGCATGTGCCACCACATCCAGCTAATTTTTTTGTTGTTTTTTGTAGTGACAAGCTCTCACTATGTTGCCCAGGCTGGAGTGCAGTGGCGCGATCTCAGCTCACTGCAACCTCCACTTCCTGGGTTCAAGCAATTCTCCTGCCTCAGCCTCCTGAGTAGCTGGGACTACAGGCACCCACCACCACACCCAGCTAATTTTTGTATTTTTAGAAGAGATGGGGTTTCACCATGTTGGCCAGGACGGTCTCGATTTTCTGACCTCATGATCCACCTGCCTTAGCCTCCCAAAGTGCTGAGATTACAGGCGTGAGCCACCGCGCCTGGCCCACTTTTATGCGTTTTGTTTTGTTTTGTGAGACAGAGTCTTGCTCTGTTGCCCATACGGGAGTGCAGTGGCGCAATCTCAGCTCACTGCAACCTCTGCCTCCCAGGTTCAAGTGATTCTCCTGCCTCAGCCTCCAGTAGCTGGGATTACAGGTGCACACCACCACGCCTAACTAATTTTTTTGTATTTTTAGTAGAGATGGGGTTTCATCATGTTGCCCAGGTTGATCTCAAACTCCTGAGCTCAGATGATCCTCCCAAAGTGATGGGATTACAGACGTGAGCCACCACACCCGACCTCCACTTATATGAAATATCTAGAATAGGCAAATTAAAAGAGACAGAAAGTAAATCAGGGATTATCAGAGAATGCCGGGAGAGCTATTGCTTAATGGGTACATAGCTACTGTTTGGGTGATGAAAATTTTGAAAATACTGGTTATTACTGCATTAACAATTAGTATATTTGATGCTGCAGAACTCTACACTTGAAAGTAGCTAAAATGATAAGTTTGGTTATCTTTATATTTATATTTACATGTACTTTATCACAATTGTAAAGATAGTAAAAAAAAAAAGTGTATAAAATTTAAAATAAGTGGAGGGAAAAACTGAGACTTTAAAAGTTTCTGTAGGCTAATTTAGAAAACCGCCCGTCATTTTTAGCATTGTTCCATGGAAAATGTATTCCAAGCAACAAACAGTTGACTTACAAATGAAACTTAAAAACAACTTGCTTCCAAGTTGAAGATTACCAAAATTTAGGTTTTTGGCAACAATCATGCTGAAAATCTAAGTTTCCATCAACTTCAATGGCTGCCTTTCCCCTCATTTAAGAGGCAAGACTGCCATCATGTGGTAAGTAAAGTAAGTAATGGGTTTTCTTCTAATAGTACAAATGAAGATTCCCTTTTAAGAGCTTGTAGGAACTAGCCTGTAGGAAATATCTAAACCTTTCAAACTGTAGCATAGATAAGCAATCTTGATTATCCAGAACAAATAATTGACCAGAAATAGTTCAGTTATTCCCCACATCAATAGATAACAAAGCACAATTTAAAAGACGTATCAAAAAGCTTAATTTCAAATATTTATAATAAAGCTCCAATATGTATTTTGATAACTTAAATATAAAATTTGCAATGTTAGTCTTATATTCCTGAAATAAACCATTTCCAAGAGAAAACCTGCAAAGTTTTATAACTCAACAACTATCATTTAGCTATTATATGGTATTTAAAGAGTACACAAAAGTTTTTGGAAAAGGCTATACCTTGTAAAGGTAATTCCAAAGTTCTGAAAAGCAGGAAAATGAATATTAGCTAAATAAGCATCATATTTAAAAATAAAGTCAGGCATGGTGGTTCACGCCTGTAATCCCAGCACTTTGGGAGACTAAGGCAGGGCAGATCACTTGATCTCAGATGTTAGAGACCAGCCTGGACAACATGGCAAAACCCTGTCTCTGCAAAAATAAAAAATAAAAAATTAGTCGGGAGTGGTGATATACCCCTGTAGTCCCAGATACTCAGGAGGCTGAGGTGGAAGAATTTCTTGAAGCCTCAACCAGAAGGTTGAGGCTGCATTTAGCTGTGATTGTGCCACTGCACTCCAGCCAGGGCAACAGAGCAAGGCTCTGTCTCAAAGCAAAATCAAAAACAAAAAAAAAAAAGTGAGACCCCATCTCTACAAAAAAGTTTTAAAAATAAAGTAAAATACATTTTAAAATAAGAGAGTTTCATTCTGCCCTAGTGCCCGGCATGGTAACCTAGATACTGCAGATGCTCAATAAATATTCACTGGGGGATGGGGGGGACGGGGCAGGGAAGCATTATTTGCATGGTCAGTAACCAAAAAGCAGATAACTGACCCAGAATTGGTGCCCTACAGAGACATTCTGGGAAACAGAAAATCCTCACTAATACACCAAAAAATAAATCCAACTTTTTTGGAGACAGAGTCTTGGTCTGTTGCCCAGACTGGAGTGCAGTGGCATGATCTTGGCTCACCGTAGCCTCCGCCTCCCAGGTTCAAGCGAATTCTCTGCTTCAGCCTCCCGAGTAGCTAGGATTAGAGGCATGTGCCACGACGCCCAGCTAATTTTTGTATTTGTAGTAGAGACAGGGTTTCGCCATGTTGACCAGGCTGGTCTCAAACTCCTGGCCTCAAGTGATCTGCCTGCCTCGGCCTCCCAAAGTGCTGGGATTACAGGTGTGAGCCACCGCGCCGGGACTGAAATGATATTTTACATTGTTAAATGCAAAAAGAAAGTTACAGAATCACAGGCATAATATCTCATTAAACAAACAAAAACCAAAATAACTACATAAGTGAGAAATATGCATCAAACTTATTTCTTTGGGGTGAGAGGAGTTGTCACTTGTTTAATTTCTTATGCATCGCTTGCAGTCCTTCTTATAATAAATATTTCTTTAATTTAAAAATAGTAGAAAGAAAATACCATCCAAAATGTTCTTAATAGTGGTCTACTTCTTCTGATAGAGAGAATTTTAGAGCAATTAAACTATGTTAGAATAGATAACTTTAATAACTTTTTCCCTTACAAAATTAAAATAGCACTCATGGTCTCCTAATAAAAAAAAAAGTATAGCTATAATTAAGTCACCAGCTTCTGAACATGTATAACTCCTATTGGTATAAAGCATATAATGGGTCATTAGGATTATAAAACATTTGCCAATCAAAAAAAACAAAAATCCCTACAATCCTAAAGAAAAGCCACAATTTATACTAGAAAAACTGAATTATTTTTTATTGTAAGACCCTGAAACAATCTAGTATCTGTGATCTCCTAATCCTGCAGAATATACAGATTTTTTCTTTTAGTTGGGGAATATTGGCCTCTTGAAGTTCCTCCATTTTAATCTTTGGAATAAAGATTTCCTTAAACTACACAACCACTCTCTGAGCCACTACCCATCCATGCATGTAATGAGAGAAGTTTCTTTTTTAATTTTTTTGTTTTGTTTTGTTTCAGCTCGTATCTGAACAGCTAGAGAAAGAAGTTTCTGAAAGCCATGTATTTTACATTTGTGAAATATGAAAATAGAAAAATACTGAGAGCCACTATTCATACAGAGAATACTAACTAAAACTTTAGACAATGATGCATATGTGCACTATTCAGAAGTTTGTTTTTAGTAGAAAACTATCAATACAGTAAACAATCTTAACAGAGGACTTGGCTGTCAGTTCCCCCACTCTATTACCAGACACTTAACTAAAATGATTTCCAAGGTTCCCTCCAGCTCTACATGAGATCCTATGATTCTATCTTTTCCAAACTATAATTACAAGCAGGAGAAATTATGTCCCAAAGTATTCAGAATTTAAAAAAGAAATCTGGCTAGAATATGAAAAAAAGATACTCTACATAGTAAATTTTTCCTACGGTCCCTAAGTCCTGACTGTGGGACTCTTAATATTTACAACTGGCTTGTTAAAGAACGCAAAATCTGATGTTAACTCATTTATCTCTATTTTAAATTCTGTTCAAAATAACAAGGGCTGACCACTGAAAATTATCTTAAACTTCTTTCCTTAAGCAAATATAATCCTAAGTTAGATTGCTTAATGAAACTTCAATATTTAAAAACAAACCTTTCAAAGATGATGATCTTATGATCACATTTGATTACATTATTCATTCCTTCACTATTCAATTAATATGCTAAGCACCTACCACGTATCAGGTATTGGTCATGTTTTAGCTTCTTTCTAGCATCACAAATAAAAGTCAGAGAGTATGAGAATCTTACCAATATGGCCTCCTCCAATGGTGTATGTCTTCCCAGATCCAGTTTGTCCATAGGCAAAAACAGTTGCATTATAGCCCTCAATGAGTGACAACACTAGGGGCTTTATACATGTATTATAAACTTCATCTTGAGTGGAATTTTTGCCAAAAACAAAATCAAAAGTGAAGACTCTGTCTCTCCCAATGATAACTTGCTGGCTGTTTGGAATAACTCTCACACAAACTTGATGATTATGAAGAACTTCTTTGCAAAGCAGAGGTCTAATTCTTACAGCAACTTTTACTGGTATTTCTTCCATGGCAACTTAGATTTTACTAGATTTTCTACTTAATGTTCAGTATCTAGTGTGAGAAACTTCCATCTTATGTAAGATCTGGATTCCTGTGTATCAAAAATAAAAAACAAATTTTAATTACTGATTCCTTTTATCCCAATAAACTAACCATCTTCTAAAGCAAAGTCAGTTAGAACAGGTTTTGTTTCAACACAACACAGTTACAAAAATCAAACCTGTCTTGTAAAATACATTGTAAATTTGTAGACAAAATAGTACGTCTTGGGTTTGCTTCAACATAATCTAGAGTATGGGGTCCATGAGTTAATAAATGACGAAGCTAAGTGGTAAGTACATGGGATTTCATTGTGCCTTTATTTCTACAGTAATAATATTTCCCAGTTCATTAATCTAAATATTAAATAGCCAGGGAGTTAGAAAATTAAGGCGAGGAGATAATTAAGGAAGGAACTGTACACATGTTTTTTTGTTTGTTTTTTGAGATGGAGTCTCGCTCTGTCGTCTAGGGTGGAAGGCAGTGGTGTGATCTCCGCTCTCTATAACCTCTGCCTTCCAGGTTCAAGTGATTCTCCTGCCTCAGGCCTCTTGAGTAGCTGGGATTACAGGTGCCCACTACTACATCCGGCTAATTTTTGTATTTTTAGTAGAGACAGGGTTTCACCATATTGGCTAGGCTGGTCTCAAACTCCGAACCTCAAGTGACCTACCCGCCTCGGCCTCCCAAAGTGCTGGGATTACAGGCATGAGCCATCGCGCCCAGCCTGTACATGTGTTAAAAACAAACATTAGTACCAGATTTTATAGCTATGCATTGAAAAATAGCATTTCCTCTTTGCCACAATTATTAGAAATAAATTCATGAAAATAGTTCTAAGAATTTCATAAGTCAATATAAATTTAAAACTAAATTTTTATTCAAAAATAATCAAAACTAACAGAAAAACTGCTTTTTCTGCTTCTAAATATTATGCTGTACTTATTTCTGAAGATCTCTGCTAGAATTAATACATTAAAAATTAAATTGTTGGCTGTAGTTTCCCGGCTAAAAATATATATAAATAAATAATTGATAACCACATTTACAATGAACACTCTGGCTTTTTTTTTTTTTGAGACAGAGTCTTGCTCTGTCGCCCAGGCTGAAGTACAGTGGCGCGATCTCGGCTTGCTGCAAGCTCCGCCTCCCGGGTTCACGCCCTTCTCCTGCCTCAGCCTCCCAAGTAGCTGGGACTACAGGCGCCTGCCACCATGCCCAGCTAATTTTTTGTATTTTTAGTAGAGATGGCGTTTCACCCTGTTAGCCAGGATGGTCTTGATCTCCTGACCTCGTGATCCGCCCGCCTCAGCCTTCCAAAGTGCTGGGATTACAGGCGTGAGCCATCGTGCCCAGCCTAACACTTAAAAATACATTCAAAAAACAATTCCATTTACAATAGCATCAAAAAGAATAAAATATTTAGAAATAAATTTAACAAAAGATGTGTAAAACATATACTCCGAAAACTATAAAATACTGTTAGAAGAAAGCACAAGATGTACATAAATGAAAAAAATCTCATGTTTATGAATTGAAAGATATATTAATATGTCAGTATTCCCCAAATTGATCTACAGACTCAATGCAATACCTATCAAAATCTCAGCTGACTTATTTGCAGAAATTGACAAGTTGATCCTGAAATCACAGAACTCAAGAGACACAGAATAACCAAAACGATATTGGAAAAAGAACAAAGTAAGAGGACTCACACTTTCCTAATTTCAAAACCAAGCAACAGTCATCATGATAGTGTAGTACTGGCATAAGGATAGACACATAGATCAACAGAATAGAATTGAGAATCCAGAAATAAACCCTCACATTTATGGGCAATTGATTTTCAACAAAGGTGTGACGACAATTCAACTGAAGTCTAAGAATAGTCTTTTCAACAAATGGCTATGGGACAATGGATAAAATAATGAAGTTGGACTCCCTACCTCACATCATATACAAAAGTTAACCAAAAATGGACCATAGACCTAAACATAAGAACTAAAACTACAAAACTCTTAAAAGACAGGAGTAACTCTTCATGACCTTGAATTTGGCAATAATTTCTCAGATATGACACCAAAAGCAGTAAAATTAAAAATACCAATTTGAACATTACACATTGTATACAGGTACTGAAAAATCACACTGTACCCCATAAACATGTACAATGATTGTGTCAATCAAAAATAATAAAAGCAAAAAAATAAAGATGAAGTATAGATTAAAAAATAAGACCCAGCCTGGGCAACAAAGTGAGACGTCATATCTACAAAGAAATTTTTTTTTCAATCAGCTCAGCATGACAATGCACACCTGCGGTCCCAGCTACTTCGGAAGCTAAGGCGGGAGGTTGGCTTGAACCCAGCAGCCAGAGGTTACAGTAAGCTATATTTGCGCCACTGCGCTATAACCTGGACAACAGAGCAAGAACTTGTCTGAGAGAGAGAGAGAGAGAGAACAAGAGAAATGTTGGGGGTGGGGGAGGGAGAGAAAGGAGGGAGGGAAGGAAAAACTGGACATCGAAATTAAAAACTTTGTGCTTCAAAGGAAACTACCAAGAAAGTGAAAAGACGGCTGGGCACAGTGGCTTATGCCTGTAATCCCTTGGGCACTTGGGGAGGCCGAGGTGGGTGGATCACGAGGTCAGGAGATGAGACCATTCTGGCTAACAAGGTGAAATCCCATCTCTACTAAAAATACAAAAAAATTAGCCAGGCGTGTTGGCGGGCACCTGTAGTCCCAGCTACCCGGGAGCCTGAAGCAGGAGAATAGCATGAACCCTGGAGGTGGAGCTTGCAGTGAGCCGAGATTGCGCCACTGCACTCCAGCCTGGGCGAGGGAGCAAGACTCCGCCTCAAAAAAAAAAAAAGTGAAAAGACAACTCACTGAATGGGAGAAAATATTTGCAAGGCATGAATCTAACAAGGAACTTGCAACTACAATATATAAATAACTATTACAACTCAAAAAGTTTTTAAAAAATTTTAAAAACAGGCAAAGCATCTGAAAAGGCACTTCCTCAAAGAAGATATACAAATGAATAATGAGCACATGAAAAGATGCTCAACATCATTAGCTATCAGGAAAATGCAATCAAAACCACAGTGAGAGTCCAGGTGCGCAGTGGCTCACGCCTGTAATCCCAGAATTTTAGGAGACTGAGGTGGGAGGATCACCTGAGGTCAGGAGTTCAAGACCAGCCTGGACAACATGGTGAAACCCCATCTCTACCTAAAATACAAAAATTAGCCAGGCACAGTGGCTCAAGCCTGTAATCCCAGCACTCTGGGAGGCCAACGTGGGAGGATCACCTGAGGTCAGGAGTTCGACACCAGCCTGAACAACACGGTGAAACTCTGTCTCTACTAAAAAATACAAAAATTAGACGGGCATGGTGATGGGCGCCCATAATCCTAGCTACTCAGGAAGCTGAGGCAGGAGAATCGCTTGAACCCAGGAGGCAGAGGTTACAGTGAGCTGAGATCAAACCACTGCACTCCAGCCTGGGCGATACACCAAGACTGTCTCAAACAAACAAACAAACAACCACCACAATGAGATACCAATCCACATCCACTCGCACTGTTATAATAACAAAGACAGACCATAAGTGTTAGCAGGGTGTAAAGAAATTAGAACCCTCATACACTACTGGTGGGAAGGTAAAATGGTACAGCCACTTTGGAAAACAGATTGACATTTCCGCAAAAAGTTAAACATACAGTTATCACTTGACCCAGCTCCCAAGAGAAATGAAAACACTGTGTTTGCATAAAAACTTATATACAAATGTTCAGTTTTGGAAGGATAAAGCTTATACTAAATTTAACGAGTAATCTATGACAATGTTTAAGTGCAGATGATGAAAAGTAATGAGTTTGAGGTGAGGCTAGGTTCTTTGGAGAAGCTGCTGAGTCTTGAAGATTACCATTAAGTAACAGAGACAACTAGACTGAAATAACATTTTATTAATAACACTAATAACAGTGAATTGATAATATTAATATTCACTACCCTTGGAAAAAAAAAACCGTGGCCCAGCACAGTGGTTCACATCTGTAATCCCAGCACTTTGGGAGGCCAGGGTGGGTGGATCACTTGAGCCCAGGAGTTTGAGACCAGCCTGGCCAACATGGAGAAACCCTGTCTCTACAAAAAATCAATAAATTAGGCAGGCATGGTGGCGCACGCGCCTGTAGTCTCAGCTACTCAGGAGGTTGAAGCGAGAGGGTCCCTTGATCCCAAAAGGGTCGCGACCCTGTCAAAAACAAAACAAAATAAAACAAAACTCGCCGGGCGCGGTGGCTCAAGCCTGTAATCCCAGCACTTTGGGAGGCCGAGATGGGCGGATCACGAGGTCAGGAGATCGAGACCATCCTGGCTAACACGATGAAACCCCGTCTCTACTAAAAAAATACAAAAAACTAGCCGGGCGAGGTGGCGGGCGCCTGTAGTCCCAGCTACTCGGGAGGCTGAGGCGGGAGAATGGCGTAAACCCGGGAGGCGGAGCTTGCAGTGAGCTGAGATCCGGCCACTGCACTCCAGCCTGGGCGAGAGCGCGAGACCCCGTCTCAAAAAAAAAAAAAAAAAAAAAAAAAAAACTCTGCAATGGTACTCTGCATTTGTAATTCTGTGAGTAGATGGCATGAAGAGGATCACAACAAAAAAAAATTAACATCACTCTTCTAAAAGTCCCCTGAGAGTAAAAAAATATCAGGTCCCTTGGGCTGTAAAACCCCAAAAGAGAGTCAACAAACTATCTTTAATGGCTGAAACAAAGAGATACACCTAACCTTAGCAGTTTTAAAATCATTCTAATGAATTTTACCCTGGAAAAAAAAAAAAATGCTCATGTGTTTGATAAATCCTTTCTTGGATCTTAAAGAACTCTATAATCATTTGGTACTGGAAACTTTTCCAGTTGCAGGAATGCTGAGTTAATTCTTCCAAATGTCTCTGAAAACCAACATTTGAAGTCACCATACAGATTAGTTTATTTCTTTGTATGCCATCAAATTAAAGCAAAACTCATGGACGATGCTGAGCCAAACCTAACTGCTTCCAATGAAGTTGCTAATAAAAAATGCCAAATTGGGATATTTTCATTTCTTGGGTTTTTGTTTTGTTTTTGAGACAAGGTCTGGCTCTGTCACCCAGGCTGGAGCACAGCGGCACCATCTCGGCTCACTGCAACCTCAGCCTCCTGGTTCAAGCGATTCTCGTGCCTCAGCCTCCAAAGTAGCTGGGATTACAGGTACCACGCCAGGCTAATTCTTGTATTTTTAGTAGAAACGGGGTTTCACCATGTTGCCCAGGCTGGTCTCGACCTCCTGGCTGAAGAGATCCACCCGCCTCAGCCTCCCAAGGTACTGGGATTACAGATATGAGCCACCATGCCCAGCCTCATTTCTTGGGGTTTTTAATGGTAATATCTATAAACAATTTGGTTATAAAGGCAACTGAAACTTATTCTAAGCATTAAAAAAAAATAATAACGGGGCCAGGCACGGTGGCTCATGCCTGTAATCCCAGCACTTTGGGAGGCCAAGGCAGGTGGATCACTTCAGCCCACGAGTTACAGACCAGCCTGGGCAACAGGGTGAAACTCTGTCTCTACTAAAAATACAAGAATGAGCCAGGCAGTGGTGACGCACCTGTAGTCTCAGCTACTTGGGAGGCTGAGGTTGGAGGATCGCTTGAGCCCGGAAGGTTGAGGCTGCAATATGCCACTGCACTCTAGCCTGAGTAACAGAGCGAGACCCTGTCTCAAAACAAAACAAACAATAATAAGGGTCCACAAACATAGGGCTTGTAAAACATCAATATACAAGAAACAAAGTTTTTACACAATCCATAGCACTTATACTTCTTCAGATTCTGATCAATTATAGTCATCAGAAACATACGTATTATGTCACCAATAAATGACAAAAAAGGCGAAATCTGATTGGCTGGTCGTATTTAAGTATACTCAATGGGTTTTTGAAATCTGAGGAAAGGCAAGAGAAATATTTAATCCCTCATGTCATGTCACTGGTCAGGAATGAGTGTCTCCAAAAACCGCTGCCATCCCGTCCCCTTGATTTCCCAGAAAGCAGTGGTTGTCTGAAATGTGTGGTTTGTTAATCATTTTCATAAGAAACTTCCCAGTAGATGGATAGTAAATCGCATGAGGAGCTCAGAAAAGGCCCCAAATGCGTAAAGACAAAGGAGTAAAGAAGGGCAAACAACAAAGATTTTCAACACTGTAGACGGCTGTGTTACTTAAAAGGTGTTTCAAAGAAAGAATCGGGGAGCTTTGCTCTTTACAGCACCTGCCTCCGAGGGAGGGCGCTCTCGGGCTTGAATGCGCCGAAGTTTCAACCTCTACAGTGGGAAAAAGACGCCTGCGACAAAACAAAGCGCTCGGTGATGGTGGCCCTCGCGTCGCACCTCACGCCGTGCAGCTACACGAGACGAACACGGGGTGCGCTCCGAGGGGCCGAGTCCCGCATTGGGGTCGATCCCCGTTCCCCGGGCCCCGCTCCTCAGGGCTGAGCCAGCTTCCTCCGGAAGGGGCGCTCTGCCTCCAGTCGCTCGCCGGGCTCCCATTCCTGACCCCAGACCCCTCGGGCGCCCCCATAGGCCTCGCTGGCGCCCCTACCGCCCACCCTCTGGCTCCCACCCCGCGGCGGCCCAGACCCCAAGCCGGCGCCTACTAGTCCCAACGGCGGGCTGGGAGCGCGGGCGCGGCGGGCTCCTGGAGGGCGGGTGCCACGGAAGGGAGGGCGCCCCACTTCCCCGCACCGCCCGGCCAGGCCCGCCGCGCACTGACCGGCTCGGGACAGCCCAGGGCCCTGGCGGCGAGCGCTGGACTCCTCAGCTTCGCTCTGCCACCCCGCGCCGCGCCGCCGCCGCCCGCGTCTTTTGTTGTCGCGGGTTCTCCTGGCAACCGGCGAAGCCCGCCTCCCGCCGCGTCTTCCCCGGGTCGCGGCGTCCTGGCCCCGCCCCCAAGCCCGTGCGCAAGAGTCCTGCGTCCCCAGGAAGTCTGCAAAAGGCCAGCTCCCGGGTTTCCCTGCAAACCCGAATTGTGTCCCACTAACGCGCTGGGACCGGTCTGTGAGGCCTGAGCGCAAGCATCTTTCCACGGGTTCGTGAAATGAATGAGAACGATTCCACACTGTGTTTCAATACCTTAGCTACCAATTCAGTTTATTTTTATTGAGTAAAACTTGCATAACATAAACCATCTTAAAACTCACAATTCAGTGGCGTTTAATGCGTTCACAGTGCATCAAACTATCACCTCTGTATATAGTTCAGAAACATTTTCATAACCCCAAAAGAAAATCTCCAAACCAGTTAGCAGTCATTCCTTCCAGTTCCCCTCTCCCCACAACCCCAGCCAGCCACTAATCTACTTTCTGACTCTATGATAGATTTACCTATTCTGCGCATTTCATTATTGATGGAAGCATTCAGTATATGACCTTTTGTGTCTAGCTTCTTTTGCTTAGTGTTTTTTTTTTTTTTTTTTTTTTTTTTTTTTTTTTGAGACGGAGTCTTGCTCTGTAGCCCGGACTGGAGTGCAGTGGCCGGATCTCAGCTCACTGCAAACTCCGCCTCCCGGGTTCAAGCCATTCTCCTGCCTCAGCCTCCGCAGTAGCTGGGACTACAGGCGCCCGCCACCTCGCCCGGCCAGTTTTTTGTATTTTTAGTAGAGACGGGGTTTCACCGTGTTAGCCAGGATGGTCTCGATCTCCTGACCTCGTGATCCACCCGTCTCGGCCTCCCTAAGTGCTGGGATTACAGGCTTGAGCCACCGCGCCCGGCCTGCTTAGTGTTTTCAAGCTGCAGTCATGTTGTAACAACTGTCAAGACTTTTTTTTTTTTTTTTTTTTTTTTTTGAGACGGAGTCGCGCTCTGTCGCCCAGGTTAGAGTGTAGTGGCGTGATCGCGGGTCACTGCAACCTCTGCCTCCCGGGTTCAAGCGATTCTCCTGCCTCAGCCTCCCGAGTAGCTGGGACCACAGGCGCGTGCCACCACACCCGGCTAATTTTTTGTATTTTTAGTAGAGATGGGGTTTCACTGTGTTAGCCAGGATGGTCTGGGTCTCCACTGACCTTGTGATCCATCCGCCTCGGCCTCTCAAAGTGTTGGGATTAGAGCCGTGAGCCACCGCGCCCGGCCCTTTAGATGGAGTTTCGCTCTTATTGCCCAGGCTGGAATGCAATGGCGCCATCTAGGCTCAACGCAACCTCCACCTCATGGGTTCAAGCAATTCTCCTGCCTCAGCCTCCGGAGTAGCTGGGATTACAGGCATGTGCCACCACGCCCGGCTAAGTTTTCTGTATTTTTAGTAGAGACGGGGTTTCGCCATGTTGGGCAGGCTGGTCTCGAACTCCCGACCTCGGGTGATGCGCCCACCTCGGCCTCCCAAAGTGCTGGGATTATAGGCATGAGCCACCCCGCCGGGCCTGTTTTCAGGTCTGAATTGCTGGGTTGCATCGTAGTATTTAACTTTACCAATTTAGCTTTAAAAGCTTTAGTGCCTCCTGTTTTTAGTAGCACAATCTAAGCATCTTCAAAAATACTTCCTTCTCTCATGAAATATACGAATGAAGGTGGGGAAAAAAGCTGACTATTTATGGTTTTTATTTTTTTTTCTTTTAACTGAATTATTTAAATTTTTAAAAATTCAGGCTGGGCACAGTGGCTCACACCTGTAATCTCAGCACTTTGGGAGGCTGAACTGGGAGGATCACTTGAGCCCAGGAGTTCAAGACCAGCCTGGGCAACATAATGAGACCCCCCCCACCCATCCCTACAAAAAATCAAAACTTAGTTGGGTGTGGCCGAGCATGCCTGCAGTTCCAGCTACTCTGGAGGCGGAGGTGGAAGGATCGTTTGAGCCTGGTCGGTCAAGGCTGCAGTGAGCCATCGTTGCACCACTGCATTCCAGCCTGGGGGACAGAATGAGACTCTACCTCAAAAAAATAATACATAATACATAATTTTTTAAATTCTAAGATTTGAATTGATTATGCTGCATTTTTGGAACTCTTTTGGAAAACAAACTCACATTATGACTGTGAATTGGTGAGTCAAACTGGTTTGCTGACAAAGCTTCAATAATTAATAGTACATAACAATTTAAGTCTAGGAATACCCGGAAGTCTCAACAGAAGTTCTCAAGAGGCCACACAATTGCAGAGAGGAGGTCAGCAAATGCCTAACAGCATTAGAATGGGGCATTTTCCATTGTCCCCAAATTGATGTCTTGAGTCCAGAGTTAGAGAAAAGGAGTTAAGTACTTAAGTTCCCCACATTGTAAAGTCAATGCCAGTCATTGCCAACCCTTCCTCCCTAGGATTTATAGCAGGACTAAGCTAATTCCATTCAAATTCCAATCCTATCTCTTTTTTAAGTCTCTGTAAGAAAGAGTAGGCAGTGGAGTCAAGGGGTCTTGGGCCTTGCGGGTTGGAGACTAAGCGGCCTCCCACCTAAATCAAAGGAGGCTCTAAGAGTGACGGGCAAACCGTGTGTGATGTGCAAGAAGAGGAAACCTGGCCTTCTGGTGGGAGCAACTATGGGAAGAAGTAAACTGATCTGCTTCTCGAGAGTGGAGCGAAGCAACTGAGAAGGCGCTGTAGTAGAGCAGCCTGTGTTCCTACAGTTTAGGAGGGGAGAACCTGTGATTTGCTCATGGTCTAGGGTTTCCTTTGGAGGGTACCCAAGCTTGAGCCCCATGAAGATTGTCTTGAGGACTGTCTCCTGCAGATAAGTCCCAATCAGTAAGAGGCAGTGGGAGGAGCTGGGCTTGGGATTAACAGAAGTAATTGAGCCAGTGCTGGATCTTCTTACAGGAACTATGTCTTCTCCTTAAGGGAACTGTATCTTTCAGGTCCACTGAAGAACTCTGCATACGTCCCATGGGAGACCAGCTTTGGGATGCTTGTCCTACAGAGAAAAACATCCATGCCCAGTCTACTTTACTAGAAAAGCAGTAACAAACGGAAGATTACAGCTAGACCAAATTAAATAAAGAAACACGTGCCCTTTTCCCCTAAATCATCTTCCCTCACCCACATTTTGAGAAAAGCTGGGTCCGGGAAAGAAAGGAAGTATTAAGGAAACCACAGATCGTACCTCTTCTCCCACTTTAAATTATTTTAATGTTGCTATAATGTTTGATGGTTTCACTTAAATTCTCTGGCAGAGAGAAAAGAAGCTTTATACTTTAAAAAATGGGATTTCTGGCGGGGCGCAGTGGCACACACCTGTAATCCCAGCACTTTGGGAGGCTGAGGCGGGCGGATCATGAGGTCAGGAGTTCGAGATAAGCCTGGTCAACATAGTGAAATCCCGTCTCCACTACAAATACAAAAATTAGCCGGGTGTGGTGGCATGTGCCTGTAGTCCCAGCTACTCAGGAGGCTGAGGCGGGAGAATCACTTGACTCCAGGAGGCGGAGGTTGCAGTGACCCGAGACTGCACCATTGCACTCCAGCCTGCGTAACAGAGCGGGGCTTTCTGTGCCACCATTTGCCTTTGGCTCCTTAATTTAGTGGAGAGAATGTTAGCTTTCCTAAGGAAACATACTGCTTGGGGCCTGTCAGCCCATGCCAGGTGGATTTGCTTGGCCTAATGGTCAAACTGGGCAGCTACAATCTCCACCATTCATGAGGGGAACCTTGGGAGACTAGGAAAGAATCCATCACCCCAACCTGAAAAGCAAGCCTGGGACAGTGGCTTTCGAATTTGATTGATACTGAGCCACTATCAGAAATTCACTTGACATCATGACTCAGTACACAGGTATGTGTATAAATGAAAACAAGGCCAGGCATGGTGGCTCACGCCTGTAATCCCAGCACTTTGGGAGGCCAAGGTGGGAGGATCACAAGGTCAGGAGACCATCCTGGCCAACATGGTGAAACTCCGTCTCTCCTAAAAATACAAAAATTAGCTGGGTGAGGTGGCATGTGCCTGTAATCCCAGCTACTAGGGAGGCTGAGACAGGAGAATTGCTTGAACCCTGGAGGCAGAGGTTGCAGTGAGCCGAGATTGCGCCATTATACTCCAGCCTGGAGACAGAGCAAGACTCCATCTCAATAAATAAGTAAATAATAAGTGAAAACAAAAGTTTTGGGAAACAATACTTACCTTTACTAAGTGCAATGTTCTATGTATTTTATTTTATTCTATTCTACTTTTCTTTTTCTTAGAGACAGGGTCTTGCTATGTTGACCAGGCTGGTCTCGAATGCCTGGCCTCAAGTGATCCTCCCATCTCAGCCTCCCAAAGTGCTGGAATTACAGGAGTAAGCCACCATGCCTGGCCCTATTCTACTTCAATTTTTTTTTTTTTTTTTTTTTTTTTTTTTTTTTTTTTTTTTTTTTTGAGACAGGGTCTCACTCTGTCTCCCAGGCTGAGTACAGTGGTGCAATCATGACTCACTGCAGCCTCAACCTCCCAGGCTCAAGCAATCCTCCCACCTCAGTCTCCCAAGTAGCTGGGAATACAGGCACTGGCCACAATGCTCAGCAAATTTTTTATTTTTTTGTAGAGATGGATTCTTGCTGTGTTGCCCAGGCCGGTCTTGAACTCCTAGCCTCAAGTGATCCTGTGCCCTGGCCTCCCAAAATGCTGAGATTACAGGCATGAACCACCATACCCAGCCCAATTTTTCTTAATGTTGATTACAACCCTTTAAATTGATTTCATGACCTACTAATGGATTGCAGTCTGCAATTTGAAATGTTCTGGTCTAAGGTAACAATCTGGTTGACAATGGATCAAAAATGACATTTTCAACTACTAAGCAACACCTATTCTCTTATTTATCTATTGCTGAACTATTTCCCCAAATCTTAGTGGCTTAAAACAAATTTATTGGCTGGGCTCATTGGCTCACACCCGTAATCTCAGCACTTTGGGAGGCCGAGGTGGGCAGATGACGAGGTCAGGAATTCGAAACCATCCTGGCCAACA